AAAGGGTGAGTGGGATCAAGATGAGAGGAGGAGTAGATGAATGAAGAGAAGAGGAGAAAATGCAATGTAAGAATCCTACAAAATTCAGAGTAAGGGGAGGGAGGGATGGGTGAGAATGTAGAAAGGGGTGACAGTGATTAAGATGGATTCATAAACTGGTTTATTAAACGGTAACTCTTTCAGGCAACTACTTTAGGATAATAATAAAAAGAAAAAATATATAATAAAAAAGAAAAAAACTAATTCTTGTGTGTATTTAAGGTTTAAAACATGATGTTAGAGGATATATAGAGATAGAAAAATGATTGCAAGAAAGATGCAGAGTAACATATCTGTCATCCCACACTTGTGTATGTATAAGAGCATAAATAGAGTATGACTACTTATTAACAATTCTATTAACTAGAGTCTTCGTGTTGTACACTAGTTCTCTAGATTTGTTCATTCTGAATAACTTCCACTCTCTTCCTATCCCTGGAAACTGCAGCTTTATTCTCCATCTCTGAGAATTTGATCTCTTTGAAAAATATTTTTTATAGGCAGGGTGCTGGTGGCTCATGTCCATAATCCTATCCACACAGGAGGCTAAGAAGTGAGGATTGTGGTTCAAAGCCAGCCCAGGCAGCAAAGTCCATGAGACTCTTATCTCTAATTACCCACCAGAAAACTGGAAATGGCTCTGTGGCTCAAAGCACTAGCGCACTAGCCTTGAGCAAAAGAGCTCAAGGACAACATCCAGGCTCCAAGTTCAAGCCCCATGATTAATTTTTTAAAAAAATACATATAAGATAAATGTTGCCATGTTTTTGTCTGTGTCTGGTTTATTTCACTCATCACACTGCCCTTCACATCCATCAGTGTTGTGGCAAATGGCAAGATCTCCCTTTTTAAAGCTGGATAATATTCTCTGGTTTATTTCTCCTTTTCTGTATTTATTTGCCAACTGGTATTTCCCTTGTTTCCATATCTTAGCTACTGTGAACAATGTTGCATGGCGCATGGGAATGCAGACAGTTTCAGGAGGTGATTATTTCACATCCTTTGGGTGGGCATTTCGAAGACAGCTGCTGGATTGCAAGGCTTAGCAACGGAGCTTCATACTGCTCCCCATCAGGGCTACCACCACCTACATTTCCACCAACACTAAATTAGGGTTTTCTTCTCCAGGAGTGAATTTTCTGGAAAGCTGCTGTGCCTTTTTTCATTTTAAAACTATACTCATGATTTAAAAAAACAACAACCAATAATCCTGAAGCAGGGGCAGGTGGCCATGTGTAAGTCAGAAAGCCTAAAACTTCAGTGGGAAGAAGAAATGAACTGAAAAATGAATGCCAACACTAGGCAAAGTCTTTGACTTGGTGGGTAGTATTTGGATTAAAAGAGATTTGCAGATACTCCTGGTGAACACATATCTATCACTTTCAAAACAAATGCATGTTTTTTTCTTTAATCACACTATGCCTGTGGGTAATATTCTCTTTTTGTTTGACTGGTTAATTTGTCATTCAATGATGGCTGTTGTCCTGAGGATTTAGGACCTAGCCCAAAGATCTTTGCCCCAAGCTAGCTTGTGAGGGACTCTTCTTGTGTTGTCTCCCTTTCCTGCCCTATTCACATGCTGACTGAGCTCTCCCTATTCAGTCTCTGTGGCTCCTGAACATGGTGATAAAGAAGCCATGATATGTAAGGTGGGATTTCAGAAGCCTGCTGGGCCCTTTGACTTTTCTGTCTTCCTACTCCTACAGATAGATGCAAAGTATAAGTAGGCTAACCAAAACCCTGAGGGAAGAAGTACTTACAGGAAAACAGAAATGTTCATGGGGAGTCTGTGCAGTAGGGTGATGCCAGACAGCCCAGGACCTGATCTCTACCATGTCAATGAGACAGGATGGTGATGCTCTCGGGGGACAGAGGCAAAGGTGAAAAGAAGCTGGGTGTGGAAAATGTGGAGCTGTACATTTTTAAGACAGAGACAACCATCAGTCTTACAGATGGATTCTACGTGTAGCATGAGAAGGAAGAGAGGATTTGATTTCAAGGTTTTGCTCAAGTAATAGGGTAAATAAGCATTAGCTAAAATGGCCAACACTAAGACAAGATCAAGTAGGGTGTCAGGGTGGCAGAGAAACAGGAAAAAAGATTCTGGTTTCAGACATGAGGGTGAGATGCTTGCTAATCATCCTGCAGTCAGATGCTTTGTCTGGCATCTGGCCATTGTTAAAAGTAGCAAGGTGCATTGGTTTGGATGTTTCTGTTCTTTTACATAAATGACCAACATTGATAATCACAGAGATCATACTGTACACAGTAAAATCCACCATGTTATTTTATATCACCAGACCCTCTAAAAGACTGTTAAGAAGGCCTCCTGTTTTCTTAAGGCCTGAGGAATCAAATCTCTTGGCAGAATCTAACTCTTCTACTGCAGAATGAATTTTTAGAAAAGCTCCCAGAGTAGATTAGGCCTTCAAGGAAGAGGCCCACTTATCTCTAGATCTAAACAATAGTAAATCTCCTGAAGCATAAAGACTCAGGAAAGCAAGCTGAGGTTACATTCAGCTGACCCTTGTGTCTGCAGAGGGGCTCAGTGCCGCCCATACTCTGGCTCTTAGGTTCTTCAGAAACCCATCTTTGAGACCCACAACGCCCTGAGGCTAGGCCCAAAAGGCATCAAACTACACCAATGTGCTATGCATGCCTCTGCCATTCTTCAGCCTGAAACATTCCTTATCCATTTCTTGGCTAGGCTAACTCTATAACCTGAAGCAATATTCCATCACAATGCCATTCTGAGCACAATGATTTTATGCATCTGATTCATGCACCAGAATTTGATGAGTTCTTTGAAGAACTACCTGTTTTTTATTCATGCCTTTTCACAGCATCCCACACATAGGGGAGAGATTAGATATCTGGCAACTGAACAGATGCAGTTACAGGTACCATTGAATACCAAATGGCTACCTAATTGGTACACCCTGTGGACAACAGGCCAAGAGTTCCAGGGTATACAGAAGTTTCTCTTCCAACCTAATCTCTTTGGAAGACAAATGCCATGGAACAGAGCACAGCACAGCAAGGCCAGGTTAAACGCTGGGGAATTCAGAAACTTGTTTTCAGTCAGTGAAGGCAGGACCAAGGTCATTCCAATAGGATTCTTTCCCCACAAAATGGGGAAAGTTCACAAGGTTGAAAAACTGAAAATGTCTATTTTGAAAAGTGCATCTGTTTTTCATTCCCCTCACCCTCCCTTTCATGCTCCAGAGGAAAATAGAAACACATAAAACACCTGGAGGCAAACTGAACACAAGTTCAACCTGAGGAGGGTAAAAACGCTAGCTGAGACTGCAAATGCAGCAATTGCAAGCACACAGAGACACTCACCACCCCTAACAGCAAGTTAAGGGAGGCCAGAGACATGCAAAGCATTACAGGAGACAGACCATATCATAGCGAGTGAACTAAAAACAAACCCCAAGATGAAAGCAAACCTCCGAGGGAAATCAGCAGAAAGTATCAGGATTATTTCCATCAAGGAAACTGAGTGTCACATGAAAATTAAGTTGAACTAATGTAATACTGGGAGGCAATAAAGATCATTTCAAACAATACTATTCAAGAATCAAAAACACAACTGGTTAAAGTTTAAACAAAAGTCTCTGTAATTGAATCAAAGTAACACAGTAGAGATGTAACAATGAAAACCCTTTGATAGCCCAATCCACTGGTGAATAGGCTGGAAAGTAAAGAAAGCCTGAAATAATCGCATAAGAGAATAAAAATATCAAGCAATCAAAGCAAGATGAGACAATCTAATGGATTAAAACGATGATAAAAAGTCAAAGCTGGAGAAGGCTTATGTATTCATGTTCATGAAAACCAAATGTGAATGAAGAAAGCATTCTACTTTTGCCTGGAGGAAACGAACTGATTGTTTATCCTAACAGTCAGAATATCCTCTATTTTATAAGAAAGACCTCAACAATATGGCTACCTAGCTGCCCACCACTTAATTCCAAAGTCACTTCCAGAACTTTCTCACAGATAGGAGAAAGAGTTCATTTGAATGCATGATCTTTAGCTTAAGAAATAGAAACCACCTTAAGATAGTTTTTCTTATAATCTATACCCTTCTTGTCATTGATGCTGAGTTAGAGCCGTAAAGTGTTGCTACTCAACTCTAGTGTCTCTTCCTCTGCTCAATGTCCTGACCACCAAGGCCATATCTGTGGTTTGAGACAACCAAGCACTACAGGAGAGCTTTCCTAGATATACCTGAGTATTCTTTTTGGTCTTACAGACTTCAGTCCCCTCATCTTTCTCACTGCATCAACACCCAGCTTCCACAGAGAGGGCTAATATTTGCCCCATCCTTTAATAACAGCTTTTTCAGCAGTTTAGCACCTCCAAGAAATCCACTGGAAGTTGTATCTCCAATCCACCAGCTTCAGTGTAGGAAAGGAAAAGGTGGGTATATAAAGTAGAGCAAAAAGATTAACACTGACTAGTATTTCCCATTTGGGGGAAAAAAACAACTCATATCCCAAATTTTATTACTGATTTCTTTTTGGTAAGATCTAACTCATTCTATGCATTTATATTGATATTTAAGCCCACACATACATAATGGCCTCTCAGTCACTCAAAGATTATGATAGATTGATTTTTTTCTCTCTTAATGGAAATCAGATACAAATTATGCTAAACTCTACTGAGACTATACAGATTCATCACGTACCACTCCTGTGAAACACTCACATTACAAATCCCAAGATCAATTCTGTCCTTATAGATGCATTTGCAGTGATAACAGTGAAGAAACACATACGCACACGTACACACACGTGCACACACACAGGAGATAACATGCAAATGCAAATTAGTGGTTTAAGTAAAAGACAGCTTTCTAAACTAAATATCATGTCTCCAATTAAATGTTTGTGCAAAGGTGCAACATACATTAGGAACACTCTAGTGACATAAGTGTCTGTTGTGTGTACCTCCTTCATCAGATGGTCTTGTTACTTCACTGCAGCAAGAAAAGCTAGGGTAGAGCTCAGAGATTTCTGACTTGTCATCTCCCAGACCTGTACCAAAAGTACTGCTGGAATGAGATCGAGAGCGATGTCTCCTATATTGACTTGCCTTTTCTATTGAGGAGAAATACCCAGACACATGAATACGTGATTTGAAAAACAGGAAAATCACTTAAAAGTTTTACAGGGAAGGGAAACAATTCCTTATTTATAATAATCCCAAATTTCAGCTATTACACGGTCCTATTCAATTCTTCCCAAACCTTACCATGCACTGTTCACTATCTAAAGAATTTGAAGCTTATTTACAAACATTTAAAATCTGAATTTTAATAAGAACATGGATTTAGGAGATAAACACAAACTAAGAAAACCCTGGGAAAATGAATACGTTTCTTTCAGACACAGCATCTGCTGATAAATATTGGCTTTCAAATATCCTGAGGTATATAGTATTCATTGCCTTTGTTTTTAGAAAGTTAAATGATATGGTGGGCTAACTACATGGATCAAATTAACTACAGAAGTATTCGAATCTCTAGTTTTCATTGGGGACTCAAAATTATGTTAATCAACAGTTATAGAATTTAATGATATATTTACAGCCTTTATGCTATTTAAAATAACTGCCTAGCTATCAAAGCTTTTCAGACCACATTTTCTAAACACAGTTTGAAAGTCTGAAATGTCAAATCATGTTATCACTATACAAAACCATTGTTTTCTTTTTTCTGATTTAATTATATATGTGCAATCTAAGTTAAAAGTCAAATAAGCTCCTTATGGAAAACTATTCATTGTACATTATATAGAAACTCAGAGATAAATTTTAAATACTTAGCAGTTTAATTGTAGGATATTTATGATGCTATATAGAAAACCTTTATAATGTCCTAGTTGTAATTTGTTGAATCTATCTTTAAAATACTGTTATATTTCATGAAACAAATTTTTTATGTTCCATCAGTTTTATCCAATCCAAATAACTGTATTTATAAACTCAGAAGGAATATAAAACCATATTCACCTACAAAAAGTTATGGTAAGTAAGCTTGAGACACCATCTTAAATGAATCTAGGAGAAACTAATCTAGGGTTTATTAAAAAGCTCTAGTGCAAGTTTTATTTTCATGAATAACTAATGGTACCTTTATGTAGCAATGAATTTATTTTTGGATTACTCTCAACTTTAAAATCTACAAGGAACCATTGCTATAATGAGCCTGTGCAGTTCATAGCAGCTTCATTTTCAGGAGGAAAAACCACATACATGAAGAGGAACTCAACACATGAGTAATACCAGAGAGCATATGTAGACTTCTAGACTGAATATTGTCTTCCAGGGGATCAATGTCGAAGATGGAACCAGGATCAGTGCGCCAGACTTTGAGATCTTTCACCAAAAGGAAGAAATCAACAGATCAAGAAGGAATTTTTTTCAAACCAGCACCAAAGAAAGACAAGCAAAAGGCACATAATACAACTGTGCTACAGAAGTCAGAGAACAATAAGAGAGTCACTTGCATGTGTGCATATTAAAAGGAGTTGATCACCAAATTTAAGTTGTTGCCTAGTTTCTTCCTTGGCAGGCTATGTTGAGCCTTGTTCAACATCTGTGACTCTTCCTGCAAGTCCAAAGTATGAGAGGTCCCTACCTGCAGCCCCAAAACTCTAATCACTCATGTCCTACATCCAAGAAATAGCCAGTGTTTGATTAAAGTTCCCAATTAAGGACACATGGATAGCATTGGAAACAACTGAGATGTTTTTCCTAAAATTAAACAAAAAGTTCCTCCCCCTGGTAACAGAAATGAGTACTGGAAATGTAAGCCTGTGAGAAGTCCAGTTTTCATTCTGAAAGCTCAGGAAGCCATTCAAGACAGATTTGTCAGTAAGTGTTCTGAACAAGGCATTGTTTGGAAACCATGGGGGATGAGAAGTTGTGTAGGAGAAGTTTCTTATCTCAGTTAGAAGGCAAGGCCTAGTAGGAGGAAGTTAGATCAGTAGAAGGTGGGTCCTAGTAAGAGAATTTAGATCATTATAAGGTGGGTCCTAGTAGGAGGAAGTTAGATCAGTAGAAGGCGGGGCCTAGTAGGAGGAAGTTAGATCAGTAGAAGGCGGGGCCTAGTAGGAGGAAGTTAGATCAGTAGAAGATGGAGCCTAATAGGGGAAAGTTAGAACATTATGGTTGTACTTTTCTGCAGGAAATACTGCCACCTAGTCCCTTCCTCTGTCTTCACTTTCCAGCAGCCACTACATATTCCTGCTCTAATGACATACTGTGTTACACAGGCTCAAAGTCACAGGGGCCAAGTGACCATGGACTGAAACCTCTAAAACTGTGAGCCAAACATCCCACTCCTTTAAATGAATTTCTCAAGTATTTTGTCACACTAATAGAAATATAGTGTCAACTTTAGCAAGCCAATGTATCCTTCTATCTTAATTAGAAATAAAATTCACTTTTAATCATTTCTGAGTTCATTGGTTGACCAACTGATGGGTATCAGGACATAAAATGAGCTAAGTCGTGCTATACAACTGGAAAATAAGAACTTAGTTATGGATATATGACAGAAATAAGACCACAGTAGAAGTAACCAATTGGCAAATGGAAACTGGAGACTTTCTTGACAGCTTTGCATGTTTACTTTATGTCAAGCATTATTCCTAGATACTATTATTATGCCTGTTTTGTAAATGAGGACACTTGACTAGTAAGTAGCAGAACCTGCAATGAAAATAGAAGCCCCCTAAACTTTCTCAGACTGTGTGACTCAGAAAATTCTACAAACTTGTATTTCCATACTGAGGTTGGTTTATTGGAAAGTTAATGTTTGGTGAATTTACTTCAATTTTTACCTTCATTGGTAAGTTTCTGATGAAAACAGATTGCCCCAAGAAGAAGAGATAGACTGACTACTGAATTACTAAATAAGTAGTTCAAAGGAAATATATAAGATGTAACAATTTCTATCTTACAGGTTATAAATACCCAATCTGAGAGTTTGTAGGTAGCTTCATGGTCTGTTCACAATCATCTCACTATAGTTCCTGGTCCCTGATCTTCGTAGGACCCTGGGGTAAGCACTAGGCCTACGGAGATGACTTGGATCCCTGTATGATCCCTTATGAGATACTGGCACGAAGGAACGAAGCTATCAATTTCTGTGTTACATTGAATGAAGACTTCATGATTCACCCATCCAACTTAATGTGATCCTTTGAGTAATCAAGTCGAGTTCAGTAAAGCCATCAGCTGTCTGTAAATATACTTGGAATGTGTCTTTAGGAACCTCTACTAGAGTCACTTTGGTAGTCATCCTAGTCTCTTGATGCTCTGGTGTGAGTGTTTTGTGTTAAGATATGACCCTAACATACTTATACTTCCCCTCCTAGCTTTCCTCTAAATGGCCTTTTACTAGTATTATTCCAAAAGACAAACTCTTTCTCTTAAAGGTGAAGAAAATGTAACACTGACATTACTGGGAACTGTATGCTACAGTTAGCCAAAATAGTCTTTCAGTTCCACAGTTAGAGTAGCTACAAAAATTCAGAGACTGAATGCTCTGAAGGAGACAAGAGTTAGTGAACAATTGAAATACATTTTAAAAATCATTGATTTTTCCTTTCCAGCCCTGCTTAATACTTTGCTAGTATTCCGGCTGATATTTCAAGCTATGTTCAATAATTTTCTTGCCTATTTTCCTTGACTAACTGCAATGATCAGGCCTCAAGAACAGAAGGTCTCTAACTTGTTGGGCTTTTGGATATTTTTCACCTCTCCCCTTTCAGAAATAGCATTTAAGAACTACAGAAGATCCATATTACACAATACCATTAGAATCTGTCTGGTCCATGGGTCTGAGCTAAAAGGACCTACGTGTCCTATGCTTCTTCTGCCTCCCATGTCGACTGTACAACATGTTGACCAAGCACACAAATAAAAGAATGTAAAACAGTTGCTTTACCATTCCTGATTTTCCATGAGTGAGTGGTTCCTGCATTTAACCAGAGTAAACATTCTGCAGACCAAAAAGGGAGTGTAGAGACAGAGGAATTCCCAAGAACAGAAAGCATTTGCTAACTAAAAGCCCACCCTGTACTTCATTTCGAACTGCTTACCATATCAAACATGGAGCTAGGGAAGAGTCAGATGAACAAGAAGGCACATGCTGAAGATAAAGCACGTGCTAAGTGCGTGATGGCCTGCGTCTGCCGAGGTAGATGCTCTGCTTACCCACAATGATTCCGGGTCTCCTGTCCATCTCCACGACGTGAGGCTGGACACCTTTATAGGCCGCATCGCTGATGACCTGTGTGTTCTTCCTCACCCGCTCTGTCACAGGATCATCCACAATGGGAGTGAAGCCCCTCCCCTTCGTCTTCTCAAAGTCTTCATGATATTTTACCTGAAAAAGGGGGAGAAAACTACATGAACTCAAATGGACATGTCTGTCACCTGTTACAAATTTGTCGCTGTGTCAGTTGCATCTACAGTATTTTCTACATACATGTATTTTTTCCACTTAATCCAACATCAGAAATCAAGGACTGGTGTTCTCATCACATTTTTAAACATTATAGTTGGTAATGTATCTTTTAAGGATCGGTAAAAATAAATATTTTGAATTCCTGGATACCTCCTAATATATATTAATTGACCTGCAAATTGACATTTAACTTTCAATGTGTAATCAAGTGATAAGCTATATATATATATATATTCTTCAAGAAAAGAGTATCATGTAAGATTAAGAGAGTTAGACGATGATGTTTACAGTTTTTGTATATAATTACAAAATCTTATAGGAATTTCAAAAATATATACTGTTGTCATGTTCTGAAATTGCAAGATAGCTATACCACTCTGTAAATTTTACTACAAGCCATTAAATTCAACACTTCAAAGTAAAGCTGATCGTAAAAACATACTCATTCATATTCTTTATGACATGCAAATACACCAAAGTCTGCCTTAAAATTAATTGGAAAGAAGTCCTGGAAAATGTCATTCACAAAATACATTTATAGTAGTTAAGTTAAGAATAAAAACACACAAAAAAGTCACTGGGAAAATTACTTTATTAGACCAAATATTTTCATTAATTACATTATAAATCCCCTCCCCTCAAAAGAGATCGCATCCAAGTTTCCATGCTTTGTTAGTCATCCAGATTAGCAGTGACTAAACACCATCCATACACTCTTGTGTCGTTCCTTAGCATGTTTTAGTCACAGAAAGAGCGGTCTGCTTGTATCCTACCATTGAAATATGATTTTGTGCTTCTTTAGCATGTCTCAAACCAGGTGTATCTAAAATCAGACTTGGTCTACCTTTCATCTGTTTATGGTCTTGGGTATATTTTACCTGAAAAATAAATAGTAGAATTCCTCATAACAGGCCAATTTGAATTTTTTTTAAATGCATGGCTGCTCTAAGCTAGGAAAGAAATACATGCAACATATTTGAAATTATTTCCCAGGTAATTTTTTTCAGTGAATTGCATTTTCTTCTAGAATATCAATCCAATTATGCTTTCTCAAATGCTATTGTAAAAAAAAGATTAAATCTCCCTATTTAAAACACTTTGTGACCACTAGTCACTAGGAATATAAAACTAGCTATCATATTTAAATTAAATAGGGAAATCTAAAAGTATAGAACCCAAACTTAGTGCCTGCATCTAAATTTCCCCCCTTTTTCTGCAATATTGAAGAATGCACAGCAAATTTCCCCCTACTTCCCTTTAGTTTTGCCTCCTTGGAGAATAAGAAACCATGACAAATAAATCCAATTTTGCCTCTAAGCAGTCACAGTTTAAAGGTAATTTATGTTAAACACATATGGTATCTCTGGACAAAAAATGCCTTTACACAGATGGAGCTTTTGAAGCCTAAATGCTGGGCTCTAGGCTCACAGAGCTTTTCAAGATGTGCTAAGAGAGGGTCTCTCTGGACAGGCTGACCAGCAGAACACTGACACTCCCAAAGCTTACTGTGAGGTCAGGACTCCTCTTACTGCAAACATGGGGATAGTTATGCAATGCAGAAATGAAGGCCTGACATCCACTGAGGGAATGCACCCCAACAAGACATTCATATGTCCCACCAGTCACTCTCCTGAGTAACTGAATTCTGCATTTAAATACATTTAAAGATTTTTTTCCTCTAAATCCTTACTTTGAAGTAATGACTCCTTTTCTATATATTTTTTTTCCAGAAAGCATTTGATGAGCCAAGTTTCAGTGAAATAAATACATCAGTAAAATGACAACTATTCAACTTACACATCAAAGACTTTGGCATTTTCAAAGATATTGGCTATAGTAACATGCATCATTGTTTAAATACACTTTAAATGCAACTGTCATTTGCATCTGGAAATACCAAAGAGGGGCTGCAGAGTAATGTAAATTTATACAGTGGCAACTTATGGAAGTCATCTGAAAAACACATGCATTTATCAGAAATTTCACAGGGAATAAAAAACAGAACTATAGATAACTTATAAAAGACACCTTTGTGATGTTCCAAAATAAACAAAGACCACTTGCCGAGCTAATATTTTCTTGATTCTTCTTTACTCTTTCCATCTCAGGAGTTACACTTAATGCTGTAGCTCTTCCCAGCTGACCTTTATAATAAACCTGTCATTCCGGGGAACAAAAGACTAGTGTGAATCTAAGTCAATTAAAGCAGAGTCCCATGGTATTCATTTTTAGAGTTAGCCAAGGAAGGGAAACTATAGATGGACAGGGAGGAGAAAGAAGAGGAGGAGCAAGAGAAGGAGGAGGAGAAAGAGGAAGTAGTGGAGGAAAAGCAACTATCTGTAGTCTAATTACCATACTTAAATGCTTGCATCTTAAGACACTGGGATTTTATTTTATTCCAAAGCAGTGTGCATTTGCCATTTGAATCACTGTGGACATTCTTGCACATATGAGCATATCACTAGTAAATGAGCAGTAAATCTTTACTTGCTAAGGAACATGAAAAGCAGTATTTTCATATTGCTTACCAGCCCTCTTGCCCACATAGAATGGTACTGCATAGTTGTGGCTTCTGAGACTGAACTTTGTAAGGATGCATTTAAATAGGTGACTATGGTCATCTATAAAGATTGGTAAACATCCCATTGCTCCATTCTTCCTTCTCAACCACCATGTTCTTTTCTTAGTATGGCAGAGCTAAGAGTGACTATCAGAAAAAAAGTGAAAATCTACTTCTGCAAAATACTAACTAGGTATAAGTACCAAATGATAATCTGCCTTTGCTTCATAAACTGGTCAATTGACTTTAAGGGATTGAGGAATACAAGATATCTTTGAATGTAATAGATTTACAAGTTTCTTCTTCCCAATATATATGTTAATGACTTTAAAAATGATTTTTTCAGTGAACTGCCATTTGTGAATTACATAACAAAAGGGAAACAGCAAATCACAAGTTGGTATCTAAATTTAAAAAAAAAAGTCAGACTTGGATCAAATGCCCTTTCTACATTGGCCTGTTTCACGTGACCTATACAACCACGAAGTGTTCATCAGACACTGCTCAAAAGTACAGTAAGAATGACTGAGAATGGGAGAGGGGGCTGAGGAGGCTGGCAGGAGACAGTTCAATTGCAGGACCATAAGGAAAAGCTCTGTCTATCTCAACTGAGGAAGCACAGCCATCAATGTTGGATGGCAATTGTCGTTGTCATGGTGTAGTACTGGGAACCCTGCAACTCCTCAAACCCGGAAATCTCTCAAATCAATGCTAGTCAACTGAGAGCAGAATATCAACTCAAACAGGAACACTTGGAAACACATTCCCTTCATCTGCCCTTTAACAGGATATTATAGCAAAAGAGGAAGGTGCCAAGATGATCTCACATTGCTGATATTCTTCTGGTTTTCTCTCACTCTCTTCAACTCTGGAGGATCAGAAATGGAAGTTGCCTGCTTAATCTCTCCTTTATATTTGACCTGTGGAGGATAAACATGGATTTTAACAACACTGAATAGACTCTGAGCAAGTACCTCAGAAGATGAGGCTTAAAATTCACCCTAGCATCAAGAAAATGTGATGTGATGTGTGTATGTGTGTGTGTGTGTGTGTGTGTGTGTGTGTGCTCACACATACAATGGAATTCTATGCCTCCATCAGAAAAATGACATTGTCCCATTTGTTAGGAAATGGAAAGGCTTGGAAAAAATTATACTAAATGAAGTAAGCCAGGCCTAAAGAAACATAAGTCCCATGGATTCCCTTATTTGCAATAATTAGTATATATATAAGACAAGCAGCAAAGGTCAAAAGCTATTTACATATGATCATATAAGATGATATTAAGTAAAATGAACCCCAAGATAGGGACACAACTGGTTTTTTCTTTCTTGCTATTGTTTTTAACGTATGTATAATGTACATATATAATGTGGTTTTTTTGTTTCTTTTGCATGTTCTTCTCCCATGGTATAAGCCCTGTTTTGAGTGTATCTGATTCTGGTGCCCTGAATCTTGTATATACATTTTTCTAATTTGGAGAGGGGAAGGGAAATAACAAAATGCTGAAATAAGGATACAGGTTGACCTGTTGCAACAATAAGATGTACAAGTCACTATGCTGCAAATGAATTTTACAACTTTGGGGGGGTAGGAGTTAGGAAGTTGGGGAGGGAAGAGATAGTAGGGGAAAAACAAAGGAAGGGGTAACAATGCTCGATAAGAAATGTACTTATTACCTTACTCATATAACTGTAACTCCTCTGTACAGTATTTTTACAATAAAAAACATATTAAAAAAGAAAAAATTAATCCTAGCTTTTGACACATATTTCTTCACAGTGGGTCCCCCACACTCAAGTTTCCTGATGGTTGAACATATATTCAATTTATTAAACCCAGCAAACACAAAAGTGTCAGCAGTGCCACTTAATAAAATCTTCAATAAATATGTTGATGTCAAAACTAACTGCAAGTTACACACATAAAAACAATGAATATACAAGGGAGCAAGCTTGAAGAGAAACACCAGAATAACACCAGAAACACAATGGCAGAACTAGAATTAAGTCTCCTAACAGTCTGGGAAGGTCTTTTATTTTATCCTGACTCTGGGGTTTCCACCTTTCAAAGATTTATGACTTTTTCCACCTTCCAGGGATATTTATAAGGACAAACTATGTTGAGATGAATTTTCTCCTCCACCTGGAACAACATGCTCTTCAATTTTCAAATCTTAAAAATTACCTGTTTTAGAAGACTAGCCTTAGCATTTCTATTAGGGGAAGTTACATGAAAGGGTCGCCTAATGAGGGAAACAACCATCTGGGGGCACTTCAGAGGATTTCTGAGTTCCCTTAACCAGCCATGGATTCCTGATCTCCTCCCATTACTAATCACAACTACCAATCACATCTACTAATCAGAAAAGTAAATAATGCTGGACTGTGCATTCATACAGAACATTAGCACTGGATCCATCCCATAGTAGAGGTGCCTCAAAAATCGCTAACTAATACTGCTTCACCAGGAGCAGTATCCTCAGCAATGAGCAATTTCCATTCCATATACTGTATAACGTTCCTTGTCCTAATGCAGTATTAAATCCAGGAATTCTGTTGCTGTGTTCAAGCAGACTTTTCTATGTGAGAGCCCACGCTACTCTTGAGCTCCTTACCTAGCTATATTTTTAGAGATCTTCAAATAAATCATGAGGAAAGGAGGTAGATCTTATCCATCATCGTGTCCTACAACTAGGACACATTGTGCCCTATAACCAGGACAATGCCTGACACAAATGGGTACTTAATGAAGAGTTCCTGAGGAAATGAGCATGGCTGAATTATAGCAAAACCATCACAAACTTCCTGGAATCACATGACAGTCAAAGGACATGGCCTTCAATGTGCTGATGCGAAAGAACATCCAGCCGGGCAGAGGAGTTTAAAGCCTTGCAGAGCATTTCCAACAAGCAAGAATATGGGATGTGAGCTAAAATATCAAAGAAAACAGAAAGTACTTGGCCCACCCAGCTGATCCTGGCTTCTGCTCACTCTCTGTATCAGTCATTACACGCACTAGAGCAGCCTTACAGCTTTGTTCTTCATATCAGATCTGGGGACAAGGCACAGACCCTTTAGCATGATGAGAAAGATCTATACTAAAGTATTGGGGCACATTAAAAAAAAACTGTCATATAGCCTCCGCAAAGTCTTCGTTAGGATTTTTACAATAGGATATATATTACTAACGGACTTCATCTGAGAAATCACCATCTCTACATAGGTAGGAACGCATAGGAAAAGAAAAGAGAGAAGAGAAAAGGTAGGCAGGGGAAGGAAGGACACTATTTCAAATATAATTGGCAAGGTCATTTCAGGAGCTATTTTAATATATTAAAACACATGGAATATACTGGGTTTGAGAAAAAAGCATACACACACACACATATATATATTCATACATATATGTGTATTTGTGTGTGCATATGGAAGCATACAATTAGGAGGCATATGTTGAAAAAGAGAGTTAAATCTACTCAAGATATTTTAGAAATGCCTTGGCAATGTTTAACTTGACTAAGACAGAAATAGAAATGAAGACCCACCACCTCCTATCTCAAATCACACTCAGAGAGGCTCAGTGTCTGTGGGTTTAATATGAGTAACGACACCAACAGTAGTCCAGAACAACAAGAGTTAAATTGAAAATTCAAAACAGACTACTTCTAAATAAAATCCAAAGACCAGCTGTTAGCCAAGAGCTAATAGAGAGAAGTCTTGCCTTTGGAGGTGGAAAATGTCGAGATGTTTAAATGTTAGTGAACCACTTCTCACTTTGACAGATCCCACTAATCTTGAAAGGGCAACTTTCCATCTGAATACTAAGCAAGACTTTATGACCCAGCTTCAGAAATCCAGAGCCATGCACTTGTTGCCAGAAGAGACTGCAGGATGCTCAGGATAGAAATGCTACATTGTATGATATGTATGTACTGTGTGGTTTTCCCAGGTAAGAAGCCCAACAAGGTTAAAGATGAACATTTCTGTTCTCCATACAACTCTAATCAGCTATTTCACATAGGCTGTGGAGCTGCTCATGACAGAGCATTTATATCTGATATGTTGATGAGTACATTTCAAATAAGATCATTTGAACATGAAGAAAACTAGCATTTTATGTTCCCAGGCCCAATGAAGAAGAAATAAAGAAGAAAATACTATTTTTTCTCACATAACAAGAAACTAAATATGCTAATTACATGTGGAGGAATACACATTAGGAAAGGAAGAGAAGTAGTTGTCCATTGCAATATCCAGCACTGAACAGGAGAATTTTCTGCTTATAACAGCACGTGTCTCGTCTACATTTTCTTTCCCAAGATTGGAGGATAAGTTATTTTACAGTTTATATTGAGGGCATTTGAAAGCATTCTCTGTAAGAGAAGGTAAAAGATGAATTGATACTACATTGTTTTAAAAACCTAAACCTCCAAATTGGGCAGTGGTCATTCATACCTATAATCCTACCTGCTCAGGAGGCTGAGAGGATCACAGTTCAAAGCCAGCCCGGGCAATAAAGTCTGAGACTCTTATCTCTAGTTAACCACTAGAAACCAGGAGTGGAGTTGTGGCTCAAAGTGGTAGAGTGCTAACCTTAAGCAAAAAAGTTCAGGAACAGTGCTCAGACCCTGAGTTGAAGCCCCATGACTGACAAAAAAAAAATCTAAATCTTCACTTAAGATACTAAATAAATATTCTGGAGCCTTTGGTCATTCAGTTAGGTTAAAGCTCTTTTCCTCCAAGTTGTTAAGAGATACTAAATGAACCCTTTCTCTGAAAAATTTAATATAGTTAAACTCTGTTCTAAATATGAAATGCAATCCTAGACCTCATTAAAATGACTTATGTCATCTTTACTTTTCCACAGCAAAATGAAATGCTGCTTTATGTTCAAGAGAAACAAGTCTACAGTTCTCATTCTGAAAGTTAGGACTCTGATGGTTCATGAAATCATATATCAGTAAAGAATAAGAGAAAAAAGCAGTCTGCTAAGTAAAGAACTAAAAACAGCCATCTAGCTTTAGCTTCTGTTTACCCCTGGACAAGATAATAAATGCTGAGAACTTACTGAGCTAATATTCTGCTGGGTTTTCTTCACTCGCTCAATCTCTGGGGTTTCTTTAACTGCTGTGCCAGCTCCTACATCTTTCTTATAAAACACCTTTATTACAGAAGGGGAAAAAAAAGAACTATAAGCTCATTAGAATTCAGATACTGAATCTGACTGTTATAAAACAAAGACCATGTCTTAGGTTTTATAGTAATGCGAATCCTAATTCTATTTATGAGTACCAACATTCTATGAATCAATTAAATAGTCCATTATGATAATAAATGCATGACATTAGTTTCCTATCCCATAATCTTACAAGAACACCTCTATCTAATACCTGTTCTAAAGTATGATTGATACCTTAGCTAGATGCAGATTACTTTCTTTTCTTTTCTTTTCTTTTTTTTTGGTCGGTTGTGGGGCTTAAACTCTGGGCTTGGGCGCTGTCCCTGTGCTCTTCAGCTCAAGGTGAGCTCTCTACCGCTTGAGCCACAGCGCCACTTTCAGTTTTCTGGTGGTTTATTGGAGATAAGAGTCTCATGGATTTTCCTCCCCTGGCTGGCTTTGAACAGCATTCCTCAGATCTCAGCCTCCAGAGTAGCTAGGATTACAGGTGTGAGCTACCCGAGCCCGGCTGCAGATTACTTTCTTTAAGGACAGAAATTGGCAAACTAGAGTTTCCTTCTTCAAATATGGATATATACCACATGTGCACTGAGAAAAATCAGACTGAATATGGTGGTATACACCTGTAATCTCAGCTACTCTGGAGGCTGACACACCAGCCCCCCAAAAAACCAACACTGAAAGAAAAAAGCTGGGGCATGTCTCAAGGAGGTAGAGTGCTTGCTTAACAATTAAGAAGCCTAGGGTTCAATTGCAAAAGCTAACCGGGCAGTTTATTAATTTTATTTTTTTTGGGTCCGGTTGTGGGGCCTGAACTCTGGACCTGGGCGCTGTCCCTTAGCTCTTCAGCTCAAGGCTAGTGCTCTACCACTTGAGCCACAGCACCACTTCCGGCTTTTTTCTTTTTGCTTAGGTGGTGCTGAGGAATCAAACCCAGGGCCTCAGGCATGCAAGGCAAGCGCTCTACCACTGAGCTACCTTCCCAGCCCCAGTTTATTAATTATAATTTATTTAATTTTAAACACCTGCTATTCTTTCCAAATGCAAAGAAATCTTCATTGTCTTCCAAGTAAATACTAGCTCTATCATCGATGTTGGCATTAACTCTATAGTCTGTTCCCCTCTTCCTTCTCCTATTCATTATCTTTCCCCTAGGGCTCATGGTCCCTAACAACATCTACCCCTTTGAAACATGAAGTGAAGCAAAAACTAAAAACAGAAACAAAATAAGGGCCCTGAGAAAAGCGTCTGAGGACAATACTGCTTCCGCTCTTGACATTTGGCAACCTGTAGGCCCCATGGGGGTGGGAGAGTATGACATGAGGAATGTCTTCCTTCAGAAGCTCAATCTGGAATGCTACAGAATCACAGCGTTGGAGGAAAACAGCCTCTGATCCTTCCAGTGAGAATTTCCCATATCTCTGCCCAGTCTGGCCCGCTGTGGGGAGACCACAAAAATACCAGACCAACCGACCTTGAGTGCTAGCGCCTCCCTGTTAATCAGAAAACAAAAAGTATCCCAGCCTTTGAATTTAATTGAATCCACATTCTTAATTAGACACTTGCTTAAGTACTAAATGACTTCACAAATTCTACATGATGGTGTTGACTATATAATCAGTTTTCTAATTTTAGAATTGAATTCAAATTTATACATTTACCCACTAAACCCAGGCCCAGTCTCTTAAATAACAGTGTGGATTTTTACCTCCAGTTCTTCAAGATAAGATATGAAAGCTTAGGAGCTGTAATAAACTAGTCAATCTCTAAAGATCCATGTAAAGAATCAAAAGAGCCAGAAGAAAGTCACCTCACAGAACTATTTTCATCTTCGAAGACAAGTCAATAGGGAAAATTAACATACCTTTCCTGAATTAAACTTTCATATCCTATTAATAATGGTGGCTTATATCAAGCATAAAATTTGAATTCCAAAACTATCAAGGCAAATTAGAATTTATGAAGATAATCGGTATTTTTATTATTTTGAAGAAACCCATTTGGTTGTAAGTAATGAATCAAAAAATGTATCAGACATCTGGAAGGAAGTATAAGGGTAAGGAGAGCTGGGGATTGGCCTCGGTGACAGAGTATTTGCCTCACATGCAAAAGGGCCTAAGTTTAAAAAAAAATTAATGCAGTAAATGTAAAAGAAATATCAAGGGGCTGGGAATGTGGCTTAGTGGTAGAGTGCTTGCCTTGCATGCATGAGGCCCTGGGTTCGATTCCTCAGCACCACATAAGCAGAAAAAAATAAGCTGAAGTGGCGCTGGGGCTCAAGTGGTAGAGTGCTAGCCTTGAGCTGAAGAGCTGAGGGACAGTGCCCAGGCCCAGAGTTCAGGCCCACGACCGGACCCCCCCCAAAAAATATATATATATATGCTAGACATCTCTAATATAAATTAATATCTAACCCCAAAATCTCTCTGAGCACTGACAAATGGGCAACAGTCAAAACATGTGCACTGAATGTCTGTAAAATTGCTTCCAGCTATGCGCGTAACACAAATGAATTTCATATTTAGACATAGGTCTCGTTCTCAAAGCCAAAAGTGAATTTTAAGTGCAAACATTCACCATTCCAACACTACCTGAAATATTTCTGGTCCCAAGCATTTCACGTGGGAGCTACTCAGCCTGAAATGGCTACTCACGGCACTAATGTTCTGTTGGCTGGTCTTGATCCTCTGAATTTCAGGAGTATCGACCACAGTGGAATACTTCGAAAGCATTTTCTCTGCCTCACCTTTATACTTTTTCTAGAAATACAAGGTTGATAGAAATCTGAAACAGTGTGTGTGTATGAGAGAAAGACAGAGAACAATACCTCCACTTCCAGCAATACCATATATATTGTTCTAACTCTAAACGTAAGATTCACAAGGAAAAGCAAACTGAAAACCAGCAAGGATCAAGGGAGTGAGCAAGGAGTACCACAGTCTCACCTCTGCTCAGACTGTGGTTCCCACCCCAGATCCCTCAAATGCCTCACAGAACTTCACTACCCTAAGGTGCTCTACTCTCTGTTCTAACAGCCCCATATCTACTCTGGGACACTACCCTAAGCTGCTCTAGTCTCTGTTCTAACAGCCCCATATCTACTCTGGGTAGAGCCCAGTTCTTCAGAGCTACTTTTTCACTTTCTTCTGGATTTGTGATTTGCTCCCTACTTTTAGGTAAGGATACTTGATTAAGGAAAGACACTAGTATTTTTGTCAATAAGAGTTAGAGGAGGGAAAATAGCCAGGTGTCAGTGCCTCATGCCTGTAATCTTAGCTATTCAGGAGCGAGATTATCTGAGAAAGGAGATTCAAAGTAAGCCATGGCAGGATAGTCTATATTTCCAATTATCAAAACTAGAAGCAGGAAGTAGAGCTCTGTTCAAGTGGTAAAATACTAGCCTTGGGGAAAAAAACAGAAAGCTCAGGGACAGTGGCCAGCCCCCCAGAATCAGCACACACACACACACACACACACACACACACACACACACACACTTCTCTAAATAAGTCCTGATGATGTCCTATAAAACCTAGCAATACTTTACTTTTAGTGCAGCATATATAATGCTTATTATGTAATAGGTAAATACTCAACACATACTTAATTGTATTGACTTCTTCCCACAAGCAAATACTAGTACCATCCTCATCTTACAGATGGGGAAACTCAGGGACCAGCTAGTAAGTGTCAGAGCTAGAGCTTCAATTCTCAGGCACGATGGTTATCAAAGTCAGACCAAGGCCTCTTAATGATGCTGAAATGTAGCACTTGTCATTGCAACCATTCCCTCCACTAACTCAAATATCCATTTGCCTATTTTACATACTACCTAGAACTTTCACACAACTCACAGCTACAGCCACCATCTCCAAGTTCTTGTGCCGCCCCAGGATCACATGCACTTCAGAATCAGCCCAAGTGCTGTGGCCCTCAAAGAGGCCAATGTGAGCCGAGGAGGCTGAGCAGACAAATCCTTTGACATTCTGACTCCACCATCTTTATACTCTCATGTTGAACGAATGGCTATTTAGGCTCCTCGCTTGCATTCTAGCCAGAATTTGAACAAGTTTAGACAAATTATGTCAAAAGTACTTTCAACATAAATTCCATCAATCACATTTATTCTGTTTCCTCAATTGCTGCCATTGGGATGCCTTATCAACTATATAAAGCTAATGGCAAAGGTATTATTCACTAATGAATGTTTTTGCCCTAATTTTATAAGTCATTTTTTATAAGTATTTTCATCTGAGGTCATTATCTCTCACATGCAGATTTTTATTTGTAGACAACATATGACAGGTTAAATGCAAAAAGAAAATTCAATACATAACCTAAAAATTAAGAAAAGCGAGGGAAAGGGTAGAGTTGGAGGGGTGGGTGAGAATGTTGAAATGGGTCACATTGATCAGCATGCACTGTATTCATAAACTGCTCTGTTGAATGGCAACTTCTTTGAATATCTACCTCAAAAAAATAAAACTAAGGTACGGGCTGGGATGTAGCTCAGTGGCAAAGCACTTTCCTAGCAAGTGCAATATCCTAGGTTCAATCCCAGTACCAAAAAAGAAAAGACACAAAAAAACACAGTTAAAAAGAAAGGTATATGTGGCAGGTATATTCTGAAAAAAATAAATAAATTTTATCAAAAAAACCTTAGCTCTTCCCTTAATTTTTGGTGAACATTATTTTCACCTTATTACTCTGTACAGTTTTAACTACTGTTGTTTTTTTTTTATTTTTTTTGGGGGGGTCCGGTCCTGGGACCTGAACTCTGGGCCTGGGCGCTGTCCCTCAGCTCTTCAGCTCAAGGCTAGCACTCTACCACTTGAGCCACAGTGCCACTTCCGGCTTTTTTCTTTTTGCTTATGTGGTGCTGAGGAGTCGAACACAGGGCCTCATACATGCAAGGCAAGTGCTCTACCACTAAGCAACCTTCCCAGCCCCTAACTACTGTTGTTTGTATTCAAAGTTTATCCCTTTTAAAAACATTTTTCTTTATGAAATGGTCAAAGGAAAAAAAATCTTTGAAATTATGATTCTATAGTATGAGCAAAGAATATTCAAACCAAATGTGTATTCAAGTCAAAAACGTAAGATAAAGGTCAGCATGTCCTTGGACTCAATACAGAGGCCCCACACAGGAATCCCTCCATCCCCATATCTCCGGAATCAAATCTACATTCATGTCCTTTTAATGAGTGAGGGTAATCAAATTTGGCCAGGGGGTTCTTCATTTTGACCACAAAATCTTCACAGTCTTAAAAAATATGCAAGTCATTAGGACCCACAAAGCACATCGTCATGGATATTAGAGGAATTTCTCTAAACATGGACATTCTTGACCCACCTGGCTATAGATATCAGATGCCCGCTTGGCTCGAAGCATATCCGGGATATCCGCATTCACTTGCATTCCTTTCCCCTTAATTTCATTTTCTAAGTCTTTCTTATACTGTTTCTAAAAGAAAAGGGAATAATCACAGAGCTTTGTTTAACTTTCAATAGCAATGTATGCATTTGCATATTGAATAGCAAAGTCACTGCATCTAGGGAATATTGATATTCTTGCTATGTATGTGTGACCGGATGTGTTTGTGTGAGTCTTTGCACCTGCTGCTTCCTTACCTGGCTGGCCATCTCGGATGCTCTCTTTGCTCTCTGAACATCAAGAGTGTCTGCACTGACCTGCATCCCTTTCCCTTTAATTTCAGTCTCCAGGTCTTTTTTATAGTCTTTCTACAGAAATGAAATACAAAGTTAGTGTTCTATAATCATTTCACATATTGTACTGAAAAACATGATGTAATTTGACATAGAGACTGGGGATTAAGTTGGACCCTATTACTTTTATTTCTACAGACCAAGAAAGACTTTTAACTTTAGGTAGGAATATGACTTTCAGTCATCAAAAGGGTTTTGTCTTACTGAGGAAACTAAGAAAAAGAACAGGGCTGGTAGGAAGGCATTTTATATTTCAACATAATATGCATCACAAATTATTCATTAACTTATAACTTGGTTGATGAACAGCAGTAAAAAGTGATAGCTACTCCCCAGTCTGAGCCATTTAGCTTGAATGAGGTTGGCCAAGTCTCCCTGGGCCCTGTGGGACCAAATAAACCATTGTTCTCCATCCCTAGCCCTTCAGGATGGGTGCACTTCTTTTTCCATGGAAAAATCAGAAAACGCTTTCTTTCCTTCTAAGCATGAATGGAAAAGGATGCAGCCTCTCGTTGCTATAGCCAGTTCTTTGTAAATAGAGCAAAAAAAAAACCTTGAGATTTCAGTCAACAATCAGAATTATATAAAATATCATATAAGCAATATGTTGATAGTGATGGGGATACATTCTTGAAAAGGTGTCAGTAGGTATCTTTGCTGTTGTATATATACAAATCTAGGTGTCAGTGGGCGTCTTTGTTGCAGTATGTACACAAACCTGGAATGGTGTAGCAATCTAAAACTGAAGCTTCTGGATAAATTTCTTATAATGAAGAGGAATGCACTCTAAAGTAACTAGAAGTATAGTTAATACAGACACCCATAAGATAGCTTGCCTATAAGGAGAATCAAATGGTGTGTACTCAAACTCATTGTGTATGTGCTGTTCTTTTTGCAGGACTGGAGGCCCTGTGATTTTTGCACACCAGGATCACTATGAACATGGGAATAAGATGGGTGCTAGGTAAGAGGACAGCTACAATGCCATTGGGCAATAGGAATTTTTTATCTCTATTATAATCTTTTTTTTTTTTTTAGTCATGAGGCTTGAACTTGGGGCCAGGGTGCAGTCCTTGATCTCATCCACTCAAGGCTAGTGCTCAACCACTTTGAGCCACAGCTCTACTTCCAGGTTTCTGGTGGTTAACTGGAGATGAGTCTCACAGTCTTTCCTGCCTCAGCTGCATTTGAACTGCGATCCTCAGATCTCAGCCTCCTGAGTAGCTAAGATTACAGGTGTGAGCCACCAGCGCCCAGCTTCTATTATAATTTTATGAGATCACCATCATGACCCAAAGTCTTTATGCAACACATGACTGTACTTACAACCCATGCTTAAAGATCCTCTAATGTTCACTTGAAAGAACAATAAACTACTTTCAAGGAATTATCAGCTTTATTTATATCTCGAGCTTGAGGTGGATCATCTGTTCTTTACCAAATAGCCATAATTGCAGATATACATATCTTAAGGGTCTCTTGTTGGATTGTAAAACTAATGATTAAATTTCATGAGATGTATATTTATTTTATGGATTTTTGTATGTTAATTTTGACTACCTTTTCAATTAAGCTTTTCTAAAAAGAATTGTTTTGTCATATTGTAGATTCTCTGCTATAAAATAGTTGCTGGTTTGCTTACTTGAGCTGCTTTAAATAAACTGAAGTTCTTTAGAACGTTTAAATAAGGTGTGAACAAACTCTTGATCATGAAATACTATATTTTCCCTATTTTCTACTCATAACTCTGCTTGCTTTTTACTAATGTAGACTCACACTTTTCTAAATAGAAGTCTAAGTATTAACATTTAACTTTCAAACTAATAATATTTAATTATTATCTGTAAAATACCTCATTTTCAATACACTACGTAGAGCCCTGAAACCACACATGTGTTTGAAGGACAATACATGTGGACACTAGGCACTGTTGATAGACAGCCACCCAGGTCCTAAGGAGAAAGAAGCATGTGGCTCCACTTTACCATACCAATTATTAAATCTAAGTCTCTGCTAAAGCAGAGATAACATTATCTTTTCATTATTGCTACACTACTAAACTCCCCAAATCTAAGGGGCTTAAAACGTCTAAGATTTGGTATTCCAAGGTGACAAACCCAAGGCATGAGTGCATTTACAGCCCCTGTAGGAGTGACAAGAAAAAACTCTCCCATTCTCATCTACACAGATCATTGGAGATCATTGTTATAATAATATACTACATGGACTTTAGCTCAAAGCTAAAGTGTGGGTTATTAAAAATGAACTACAGCAATATTAGAAACAAACTAGCCCAGCAAAATGATTCATGTCTGTAATCTGAGTTGTATGGGAGATGGAGATCAGGAGAATCTCAGTTCCACACCATATAGGGCAGGCAGTTCTCAGGACTACATCTCAAATCATAAAAAACAAGGCAGATGTGGTGATGAATATCTGTCATCCGAGCTATATGAGATGTGTTAATAGGAAGGTTAATGACCCAAGTCAGATCAGGCACAAATGCATGAAAACATTATTAAAAAATAACAAAAGCAAAAAGATCTGGGAGTGTGGTTCAGGGGTTATACCACCTACCTAGCAAGCACAAGGCCCTAAATTCAACCTCCAACACAAAGAACTAGAGCAAAGTTCTAAACTTCAGTGGAAAGGGATCTGAACCTATCAGTTTGGCAATACAGGACATAGCTGATTATATGCAAATGAGATATTTCAGTTATAAAGATAATGCACTATGAAAATGACAGGCCGCCATAATATAGCTGACTCCTCTCAGTCCATTTTCCCATAAGTCCTAAGTAACTAAATCTGCACTACTTTCCTAGTTTATAGGAAACAAAGAGAAATCTAAATCTATATGTTGTTGCATAAACAAATTAATTAGCACTAATGTATCCCAACTTCCTGTAAGAGAAATATGACTTAGAAGTATGCCCCTTAGATGCAAAATATAGAACTCATTCCATATTCCTTGCTGTAGAAAACAAAATGCCATCCACCGACTCAAACAACCATGCTGCTGGGGAGGATTTCAAAAGCTCCTTTTCTACCTCTCAACTCCCATTCTGCTATCACAAGCTCCCATCCAATAACCTGAACTAAAACCAGATGTAACCTTCCTCCATATAATAAGGAAAAAACACAGTGAATTCTGAAATTCCAGTGGCTGGGGTAAGAACATATACTACCAGGACAAGAATGGAAACCAAATCCTGGCAGGAATCTATTGTAATGACCCTGGAGATAGAGCTGGAAGCTTAGCAGTCAGACTTAGAACAGCAATGTTAGAGGGTGGGATCAATAAATAAACCTTACTGATGAGATGAATCCAAGTGACTTCAACAATTGGTTTGGTGCTGTTTGATGAGTTGGGGAGGTAATAATTAACTGAGGACCCCGGTTTGGGCAGGCCATGTCAAGCTTCCTTTGATGTCTTTAAAGCAAACCTCTCAAACTTTCAAGTAAACATCATGATTGGAAATAAGCTTCCATTCCAAACCATCAAAGCTTTGAGAAATTCCTACGCACCAATGGAGTCACTAATGCGATTTGTCAAGTTGCAGAACAGAAATGTGGAGTGTGAGCCACGTTACTACCTCGCTGGCTATCTCAGTAGCCTTCCTGGCACGCTGGAATTCCAGGGTGTCAGTGCCAACCTGCATTCCTTTCCCTTTAATTTCTGACTCCAGGTCCTTCTTGTATTCTTTCTGTAAAAGATGACATTGTATAGCACTCAGACATGGGGGACAAATACGTCTTTGTAGTGAATGACTGAAAAACAAAGCCAAACCTGAGAGATGAGGCACAGCTTATTCACGGTGAATGACGACCTGTAATAAAATTTCCTGAACTAGATAGAACTCTTACTCATTTCTCTCATTGAAGAGGTTCTATGAAGCTCTGAAGATTTTTTTTTTATCTTAAGAAGACAATAAGAAAATAGTTGAGGATCTTCATGGACAATTGTGCCAGTGGCTGGAGGACAGGAAAATGGGGATAAATGGGCTAAAATAGAAAGATCAGCTTTAAGCCAGTGACATTCTTTTTTTGGGGGGGGGAGGGGTCCGGTCGTGGGGCCTGAACTCTGGGCCTGGGCGCTGTCCCTCAGCTCTTCAGCTCAAGGCTAGCGCTCTACCACTTGAGCCACAGCGCCACTTCTGGCTTTTTTTTTTGCTTATGTGGTGCTGAGGAATTGAACCCAGGGCCTCAGGCATGCAAGGCAAGCGCTCTACCACTGAGCCACCTTCCCAGCCCACCAGTGACATTCTAACTGTGACACGGCAAAGGTTTCTTACTATTTCTATTCACTCATCTGGGAAACCATGTTATAATAAGGATCTATGAGGAATCCATGGTAAGGACATGGTAAGAGCTACTTGGCATACAGCACAGAGCCCAGCACTGAGGGCTTTCCAGTCGTTTTCCCTGGTCTTCATTAGTGTACCCTATATGAGCCCTTCCTTCTAGCAAGGCCTGATTCACTGCTGCTCCTGCACTGTTTTGCCATGCTACTGTGTCTAGTTATACTCCAACACTAAGAGTTTAGGACCTTTTTCCCAAATATTATAGACAAGAGAGTCCAAGGATGATGGTTGAATGTGGACTGCTCATACTATTGTAACATGATTTGTAGAAATTAGGAGCTGTGTGATAATAATAATACCAAAGGCAGGTTAGTGAATATCTACTGTATTCTGGCAAAAAATAAACCCTCCATGGTTCTCTTTTGGGAGATGGTCTCAATCCATGTAGTCATATGCATATTCTACAAAATTAAGAAAATTGAGGGAAGGTATGGGGTTGGCAGGAATGGGAGAGATGAAGAAACATTGATCTAGATTCATTGCATTCACATACTACTTTGTTGAATGGCAATTCCTTTGTACAAACACTTAAAGATAAAAGACAGAAAAATACCCAATATTTTATACTTGAAACATAACTAAATGACCTAGAACGTTAACTGAGGGTGTCAACTATAGATGCTCAGTTCCCAGTGGGATTTATGGTGGCAGGTATGTGCTGTCCTGTCATTACTGGGGACACCAATAGAGAAGATAATAGAACTGAGGTGAAGAAGAACATATGGAGCATCACCTTGAATCCCCTTCTAAAGGAAACTCTACTGGGGGCTTTCCTAATCCCTGAGATAACCATTTCCTTTATTGCATAACCATAAGAAGGGTTGTTTTTGTACCTGAATAACAGGCTATCATCCACACTCTGGTTCATTAACAATGAGGACAATACCACTTTAAGCTTTTTGACTGCTAAAATCTTCTAGATTCTCCTCAATGTACAGTGCCATTGTATGATACCAAAGCAATGTCACATAAGGACTAAAAGACAAGACTGTACTTCGGAGACATTTCACATCTTCTAACATTCGCATGACATGATAGGTGACCACTTTAGTTCGAACAGCAGGTTAACTGGGTTCGTTCAGCAGCAAGACAAGCATAGAGAGTGAGCAGTGAAGAACAGGAGGGCGTAAACTGTTCAGCTGTGGCTGTTGGCGGACCTTGAGGGCATAACTTCCTAATCTCTTGTTGAAAAGGTCAAGTGAAATCTGATAGAAGTATTCTCGCTTACTATATATATATTTTTTTTTCTCTAAGAATGGGGTAATAGTCACCTTTCTCCCAACACATGGAAAAGAGATGTGATCATCAAAGTCAATTGTAACTCAATGTCTGGGAAAAGACTAAGAGGTTTTCCTACTAATTGTGAGTCTAGTATAATCCTTAAAAAAGAGTTATGGGTAAAGAAGTCAGCGACAAATTTACAAATATGCTGCTGCTAAATATTATTCACCTCACTGGCCATTTCGGATGCCCGTTTTGCTCTTTGAATATCAAGAACTTCTGAATTAAGTTCCATTCCTCTCCCTTTTATTTCATTTTCCAAATCTTTCTTATATTCTTTCTGCAAAACAAAGAGATCAACAGTTCAAAATTAACCAAGAGATCAGTTCCAGTGTCTCACATCTGTAATCCTATCTACTCCAAGCAGAGATAAGAGAATCAAGGTTCAAGGCTTTCCTTGACAAAAAGTTAGTGATATACTATTCCAAATAATACCCTGGGCATGTTGGCACAGGTCTGTAGTACCAGACACATAGGACATCAAGGTAGGGGGAACACTGTCCAAGACTAGACTGGGCTAAAAACATGAGACCTTATCTGAAAAAAAATAGCTAAAGCACAAAAGGCTAGACACATTTTTGAAGTAAGAAAGCCTAGAAAGTTGAAGGCCCTGAGTTCAAGTCCCACTATCAACAATAAAACAATTTACTATGAATTATTTTACAAAGAGAAGAAAATATTGCTGGAAGGAAGAAAATAGATTACTAAACATTCATCTTTTTTTCTCTTTCTGTCAAATTCAGAGTTGTTTTCAATATTACCAATCACTTTTTTTATTCTAACTCCCAATATGTCTTGGTACCATAGTGGACTTTTTTAGAAGAAAAATGTCTTCCTTTTAAGTGGTAAAGGAGATCTTAAGAATATAGGCTTCTTATTAAATATTCAATATACATTTTGAAAAATGTCTATGATATATGTTATCAAAAGAAAGTAATTAGGAAGAATGGAAAGTCACAAACCAAAAGATTATTATAGCCAGTTGTTTTAGAAAAGTTTTATAGCTGGGGGTATAAACTCAGTGAGAAGAATTTGACTGCTAATGTGCACAAGCCTGGGTTCCAGCCCAGGACCAGAAGAAACAAGAAAGGTTTCCTTTTCATTTAAAGATTTGTAAAACCAAGCTGGGAAGATGGCTCAGTGGTAGAGCGCTTGCCTTGCATACATGAGGCCCTGGGTTTGATTCCTCAGCACTACATAAGCAGAAAATAGCCAGAAGTGGCACTATTGCTCAAGTGGTAGAGGGCTAGCCTTGAACTGAAGAGCTGAGGGACAGGGGCCAGGCCCAGAATTCAAGCCCCACGACTGACAAAAAAAAAAAAAAAGATTTGTAAAACCAAATCGTTTTCTGCAAATTATAATATACTTTAGATCTGAATGCCTTTCAAGAATACTTATTATACTTTGTTATTCTCTCTGCTAATGAATTAATTGGATGAGAAAACAATAAATATCTTATTCCCATTAAGCTAGTTTCATTCATGACTAATTTGCCAGATGAAAGATAAAAATCCTCTTTAATGATAAGGAATCATGTTCTCGTTAATTCTAGGGTTTGTTTCATGTTATTCTCCCTCTGTCCTGTAATTAAATTAATTTCAATTAAATAATTGAATTAGCCTGTCCTCTGCTGTGATTTGTAAAGACCTCCCAGTAGAATCAGGTCATCTGCTTACAGAGCCTGTGACCCAGTAACTCAGCCTTGATTCTCATCTTGGCAAAATGGCACTAAAAATATATGTTCCACCAATGTCCAAGAGCAATAGGGGGAATCAAACCAAACGAAATGAAAGTAATACTTGAGATGCTCTTATAGGACAATGTAAATCTAAAATCCATAATAAAATAGAAAGGTAAACCTATAAATTTTATTAAGTCTCCAAGTGAGTGGCATTTTTTTGGTTGTGGGTTGGTTGATTTGGGTTTGGGATTTTTTTTGTGCTGTCTATTGAACCCAAGGCCTTGAGAATATAAAGCAAGTAGTCTACCACTAAGCTAACAGGCTTTTAATTTTCAGCTGTTATGGTTTGTACTTAAGGTGTTGTGCTTTCTAGCCAGGCATTCTAGCACTTGAGTCATGGCTCTAGACCTTTTTTGCTTTACTTATATTTCAGTTAGGGTTATTTTAGATATGTTTAGTTTTTTCCAGAGGGAAGGGGGACACTTATTTGTCATATGAAATGTCATGACAAGACAAAAGTTAGGATACAGAAAACCCCTAAGGAGTTGGAGGTGTGGCTAAGTTGGTAGAGCAATGGCCAATGAGTGAAAGCATCAGGTACCAAGTTCCAGTCCTGTTCTCAGAACTTAAATAAAGGAGGGGGGGATTGGATGGGAGGGCAGGGGGAGGATGGGAAGGGATGGGAAGGGGAAACAAAGGAGGAGGCTACAATGCTTGATAAGAAATGCACTCATTATCTTGCCCATGTAATTGTAACCCCTCTGTACAGTATTTTCACAATAAAAAAGAACTACAATAAAGGAAAGAAAAGTTTTAAAACTTAGTCTCTTGGGCATCTATCCAACTGACCACAAACCAGGCTACACTAAAGCTACTCGCATGATCATATTTATTGCAGCATTGTTTACCATAGGCAAGATATGGAATCAATCCAGATGCCACTCAGTGGACAAATGGATCAAGAAAATGAGGTATACGTACACACAATGGAATCTTATGATTCATCAGAAAGAATGACATCGTACCATTCCTAAGGAAATGGAAAGACTTGGAAAAAATAATACTAAGCCAGACCCAAAGAAACATAGGCTGCATTGTTTCCCTCATTTGTTATAACTAGAATGTACCTAGAAATGTACAAGTAAACCCAATGGACAGTAAATGACAAATAATTATGCATGGGCATGATTAATTAAACAGCAGTCTAAACATTCACACCATGAGAACAAAGGAGGGTATTCTTAGGAGAGGATCACAAGGGCTCAGTAGCTATGTGCATATGATCATATAAAATGATGCTTATGAAAATGAACTCCAAGAAATGGAAACAAAGAGGTTTTTTAATTGTACTGTTTTTCCTTTTTCTTTCCTTCTTTCCTTTTTCTTTGGTTTAGTCTCTTCTATCTGTCCCTGTTTTTTATTTCAGTACCCTTTGTCTTGTATATGTTTATCTGATTTGGGGAGGGAAAGGGGAAGCACAGAAATGGTGGGACAAAGACTAAACTAATTCAGCAGTGAAACCCAATAGACACTATGTTGGAAATGAACTATTACAACTTAAGGGGAAGAAAGTAGGGAGGGGGGAAACTGGGAGAGAATGAGGGAGGGGGTGACATTGTTCAAAAGGAAATGTACTCCTTACCTGACTTATGTAACTGTAACCCCTCTGTACATCATCTTTACAATAAAAAAAATTTTAAAGTTATTCTAAGGTTTTGGGGTTTGGTTTTGCTGTTGTTGCTGTTGTTGTCTGGTGTGGCGTGGTCCTGAGGCTTGAATTCAGGTCCTGGGTACTTTACCTGAACTTTACTGCTCAAAGATAGTGCTCTACCAGTTAAGCCACAGCTCCACTTCCAACATTTTTTGTGATTAATTGGAGATACAAGTCTTTCAGACTTTCATTCTCCATGCTGATTTTGAATCATGATCCTTAGATCTCAGCCTCCTAAGTAGCTAGGATTACAACTAAATTTAAAAGGATAAAATTTATTACTATATTCAAAGTATTATTTTTAAAATGAACTACTGTGAAGCATTAAAACTTATTCTTTACTGAGTTTCTGTGATAGTCAAGACACAAATCCAGACTATTCTTCTAGTTTTTCAGAAACTCAGTAATTTCTTTCTGTTAGACAGGTTAGCATACATGCTCTTATTATTTATAAGTTTTAAGGTCTATTATTAGTACAGACCCAAGTGATGTGAAGAGCAAAGTCTTAGTATTTCAGATTAGTTGAGAATGGTTAAATATTTTCTGGTTATTACTTCGTTTCATTTTTCTTTCTGAGATTTAATAGAAAATAGGAAGAACATACCTCCCTCAGAAGGTTGGTGATGTACTTTACATGTAAAAATTCAGGAGTCTTGTCTAAATCCATTGAGGGCTTTCCTTTAATCTCCTTTTCAAAATCCTCTCTGTAAACTTTCTGTTAAGTAAGAACACATAATTTTCAGTTGACAAAATACTAATATATGTTGAAAGACATAAAATCAAGAGTTTCTAAAACAAAACTATGTTTTCTTATAGAATTTTATCACCCATGAGTGTCTTCTCAACAGGAAAATAAATCTGACTGCTACATAAACTTAAGAACATAGCAAGCAAAAGCTGTTTCCAGCCTCTTACTAATCTTTGATTAATATGAGCTTGAGACAGGAAGTAGCAAGATTGGCGCTGATTGAGTCACCTCAGTGGTTCTCACAGATTTGATGACAATCTGATGGTGTGGAAGTCCCTTCAAAATGGCTAGGGCTCCATTGCCCTTCTCCTTGACATTCTTTTGTGAATTATTTTTTCAATTTTTGTAATTATAAAGATGATATACACAAGGGTTACAGTTACATAAGTCAGGTAATGACTACATTTGCTATCAAGCATTGTTACCCCCTCCTTTGTTTTTCCCCTACCATCCCTTCCCTCCCTGTCTCCCCAACTCCCCCCCTAAGTTGTTAAGTTCATTTCAAAAGAGTACATTTCTTTTGAACAATGTTACCATTTCCCTCCCCTCTCTCTCTCTCTCTCTGTTTGTCCCTCCCATGCCCACCCACAAGTTGTATAGTTCATTTTCAACTAGTGAGTACCACTGCTGCATTTGTTCACCTTTCATCCTCCATGTCTGTACCTCCCCCTTATCCTCCCAAAGACAGATAAACAAATAGAATAAAAAGAAAACAAAAACAGCAACAAAGAAAAGAGCCTCTTGCTCCCATTTCCCGCAGCTCATTTCAAGAAATATTATTTTATATGAACAAATGCACATAAGCATTGTGCCCTTCTGAGGAACAATGATTTCTAAACAGTCAGGATGGAGTGGTGGGCTTTTTTCATAATTTTAGCATCCATAATATCTCTCTACCACTTAAGGAATTTGTCATGGAGCAAGTTACACTATGAAAATAGCCTGTCTGAAATCTGGTAAGTCCTTTAACTAAGACTTTTTAAGGAGCTGTGGTTAGCTCAGTAGTGGAACACTTGCCTAGCAGGCTGGAGGCCTGGGTTTCATCTCCAACTCTATAAGAAAAAAACAAAAGAGTCCACAACAAGAAATGAAAGAGAGATGCTGAAGGTGACCTGGAGGGTTTTAATCTATTGTATAAAAATATAAAACAGTGGGACAAAGGGTAAACAATGCAACAGCGATATTCTCCAGACATTATGTTGAAAATGAACTTTATAACTTGGTGGGGGGCAAGGGGGAGGGGAAGGGAAGGTGAGGAAAGTGAAGGGAACAGGTGAAAATGAGGGTGAAATAACATTGTTCAAAAAACACGTACTCATGAGCTTACCTATGTAACTGCCACCCCTCTGTACATCACTACAATAAAATCTTTAAAGAAAGAAATATATCTCTATATAATGGATACCCTATATAGAAATATATGCATATATCATATATCAATAATATCTTATACATTTTATGATTTTTTAAATTATTTTATTGTTATGTTTTTGTTTTATTATTTTATTATTTGTATATTATATAAATATATATAACGTATTTTATAATTATACTGTAATATGTTATATAACATAATGTGTTAAAATAAAAGGAATTGTGTTATATTCATAATATATTTTATTCATATATTAGACTCTTACATAGTACCCCACCTGGGGGAGGATAATTACTTTAATAAAGTAAATCATTATGGAACTGGCCAATACATAGCCTGAAAAGACAAATTCCCAGCATCTTCAATTTGTTTTTTCTAGGAGAGTTATACTTGAAAAGAAAAGACAAAGAGGGGCTGGGAAGGTGGCTCAGTGGTAGAGCACTTGCCTTGCATGCCTGAGGCCCTGGGTTCTATTCCCCAGCACCACATAAGCAAAAAGAAAAAAAGCGGAAGTGGCGCTGTGGCTCAAGTGGTAGAGCGCTAGCCTTGAGCTGAAGAGCTGAGGGACAGGGCCCAGGCCCAGAGTTCAGGCCCTACGACCAGACCCAAAAAAAAAAGAAAAGAAAAGACAAAGAACTTTTCAAGGGCAGAATGAGAGACTTGCTCTAAAACACACACAAATTAAACCTGTACCTGGCAATGCATAAAAGTGAGATAAGCATAATTGAAAGCCATCAGCATAAATGTTCACTGCAGTGCTATTCACCATAGCCAAGATATGGAACCAGCCCAGATGCTCTCAATGGACAAATGGACCAAAAAAATGTGACATACATGTATGCATGTGCGCATACACACACACACACATAAACAATGGAAGTTTACTCATCTATTAGAAAGAATAATATTGTGCCATTCATAAGGAAATAGAAAGACTTGAAAAAAATGTATTAAATGAAGTCTGCCAGACCTAGAGAAACAAAGGTTGCATAATTTCCCACATGTGTATAGCTAGAATGTACCCATAAATCTATAAGTAAACATACTGCATGGTATGCAAGATGAATTGACTGAAGTATAATTGACTTTACGGAGACCTCAACTACTGTAATATTTTAGAAAAAAAAATCACACCAAGAAATGGGTATATCCAAGAAGGGAGTGAGGCCAAAGGGAGAGGTAGACAAACGAAGGGCAGTAGAGAGGAAGAATGGAGTCAAGAATTCATTGTAAAACCAAAGGAGGAGGCTGCAATGCTTGGTAAGAAATGTACGCATTATCCTGCCCATGTAATTGTAACCCCTCTGTACAGTATGTTCACAAATAAAAAATAAATAAATAAATAAAAGAAAAAAAGAATTCATTGTACCCACCACAAAATTAAGAACAGCAAAGGAAGGGGTGGGTCAAAGTGGGGCGGGGTGAGTGTACTGAAGGGGTAGCACTGGTCAAGATGCATTGTATTCATGAACTGCTTTTGGATATGGCACCTCCCAAGTACAAGTATTTAAAAATAATTTAAACAATAAATAAAAATTAAAATAAAGACTAGCAAAGACATGGATGGCTTATTCTGCTCAGTCTTGTTTCTCTCAGTGGTACTGGGGTTTGAACTCAGGACCTTTTCTTTACTAGATCAGCACTTGAGCACCACCTCCAGCTTAAGTATGCCTGCTTGAAATCATTGAAGAGTCTTCAAGGAAAATAAAGCATAGTCAGGCCCATCCATGAGGAATTAAAAACCCATCTCTCGGACAGGTGTCTATCTCGATACTTATTTCATTGTTCTTGTACTTAATGACATTTTTCGCAACAAACTTTTTTTTTTCTGTCGGTCATGGGCCTTGGACTCTGGGCCTGGGCACTGTCCCTCAGCTCTTCAGCTCAAGACTAGTGCTTTACCACTTGAGCCACAGACCACTTCCGGTTTTCTTGTGGTTTATTGGAGATAAGAGTCTCATGGTCTTTCCTGCCCGAGCTAGCTTTGAACTGTGATCCTCACATCTCAGCCTCCTGAGTAGTTAGGATTACAGGCATGAGCTACCATGCCCAGCTCCTCAACAAACTTTTTAAAACATATTAAATACTTTATTTTTTTAGCCTTCACAGTATAAATTTGATCCAAATATGTTTCCTATTCAAAGCCTCTGTTCTCCTCCAGCCCTGCTGGGCAGAGGCATAACTGAGAGTCTAAAATAATCTAATAGTCAGCAATTATCATTAAAAGCAGGAGGGAAAGAACAAACTGAGTGTTAGAGAGAGAGATTATCAAGAGAAATAAAGGGCTAAAAATCTCTAATCCGAAATCACAATCATTTCTAATTTAGAATAGCACATTTGGATGTACAAATCATAAACTATAAGATACAGGATTTGCTGGATGCAATTTAGCATCACCTCACATTGGGAAAACAACTCTTTATGAATACACTCACAGAAACAAAATGGTAGTACATATGACTTTGACCAGGCCCTAAAATATTGTCATTGACTGGACATATAACTAATTATTTGACATAATTTCATTCAGTACATTATAAACCTAGGGGATAACACCTTCTAGTGCCATTACTTTGAGAATTAAATGAGCTGATATAAGGAGCTTAGCAATTACCAAGCACAAAATCAAGATTTAATAAATGTTGGTTCTGTTTTCATGGCAGAAGAAAAGTAAGGAGGGCAAGCAGCTCTTTGCTTTCTAATCAGTTGTTAAGTACCCATGACAGATTAGATTGATACAAAATGGAAGGGTTCATTATCTGATGATAAAGTGTGAGAGCTTAGAACGTGGGTGCTAAGAGACCCTCTGCCTTGGTATCCAGATTTGGTCCATGAGAAAAAGTGAGAACTGGACCTGGACAGGACTCCTGATGTATGTGTTTGATAGGGGGAGGGGTGTGCCTGGGAGGGGGGTAGGGGTGGGGTCTGGGTCTAGAATATAGGTTCCAGAATCTTCTCAAAGCTGGACTCTTTCCTTCAACCCACTGTTGATTCTTTAGTACCAAATTCAGTGGCCTACCTCACTCTGCATCTTCTGAGCCTCCTTTGAAGCTTGATATGATGGCGTCTCAACAAATTCTAGCATTGATTTCCCCTTGTTCTTCTCATACTCTTCTCTGTATTTAACCTTCAGTGAAAAAAAAAATTGGGATAGAAAAAAAGAGTGATAGAAGTGGTGAATTTTATCCAAGTACATCTCATAAACTATGGAAGTATCAGAGTAAACCCCTTTTGTACAATTAAGATGCACTAGTAAAAAGAAACACACAGGAGAAAAAGGAAAGAAGGAAGAAATAGGAAAGGCATGTCAGATCAGGGCTGCGGTGTGGCTCAGGGGCAGTGCACAAGCTTAGCATGCAGGAGACTCTTGATTGTATCCACGGCACCAAAACACAAAACAAAAGCATAAAAAAAAACTCAAAGGCCCTTACATAGAGAGAAGGAAAATAAGTGTTTCAAATTAATCATCCCATTTCCCAGAATTTAGTTATTCTAACTGTGTAAGGAGAGCACTAGGTTCCCTGAAGTTAGTGGTGTTCAAGAGAAGTAAGTACACAATCTTTTTTTTATTATTTAAAATTTTCAGGAATATCTAGGTGCAGTGGCTCAGGCCTATAATCCTAGCTACTTGGGAAACAGAGATCTAGAAATAGTGGTTCAAGGCTATCCCAGACACACAAAAGAAGGAAGGAGGGAAGGAAGGAAGGAAGGGAGGGAAAGAGGAAAGGAGGGAGGGAATGGAAAGGAAGGAGGGAAAAGGGGACGGAGAATCAGAAAGAAAGAGAGAAAAAGAAACAGAGAGAGAAAGAAAGCAAGTGAGCAAGCAAGCAAGAAAGCAAGCAAGCAAGCAAACTAGCAAGCAAGCTGAGTGCCGGTGGCTCATGCCTGTAATCCTAGCTACTCAGGAGGCTGAGATCTGAGGATGGCAGTTCAAAGCCAGCTTGGGTAGGAAAGTTCGTGAAACTCTTATCTCCAATAAACCACTAGAAAACCGGAAGTAGCACTGTGGCTCAAGCGGTAGAGCGCTCGCCTTGAGCTGAACAGTGCAGGGACAGTGCCCAAGCCCAGAGTTCAAGCCCCACAACCGACAAAATAAAAAAAAAGAAAGAAAGGAAGGAAGGAGGGAGGGAGGGAAAGAAAGGAGAAAAGAAAAAGGGGAAGGAATGAGGAAGAAAAAGAAAGGAAGGAAAGAAAGAAAAGGAAGAAGGGAAAAGGAAAAGAAAAAAAAGTAAAATAGCCACAATGGGAAACACAATTAGATGATCACAATCCAGGCATGAACTGAGACCTTATTTGGAAAATAATAATGGATAAAAAGGCTGGAGGTGTGGCTTGCGTTGTAGAGCACTTGCTAGCAAGTGCAAGTTCAATCTCAAGTACAGGGAAAAAATTAAAATAATAAATTAAAGAATAAAAACATCCTAGGGGCTGGGATGAGCTCTGGGGAACTCAGTAGTAGAAGTGCTTGTCCAGCACTACAAAGTCCTATCCTAGGCTTGGTCCCCAGTACCCACACCAAAAAATAAGTCTTTGAATACCTAGAAAAATTTTAACCATGTCTCAGCTTATTCAGATGCACAACTTGGGTTTAATATGCATTCATGATTAATATTATCACTATTATACACTGAGGACATAGCTTCAGCTGTGTAATAAAAATGATGTCAACAGTAATGCAAGCCAAAGAGAGCTTTTCAATGCTTAGAAATTTGTAATGACAGGAACTATAAGAAGTTTTAAAAACAGTTATTTGCAGACATATTTTTTGTTGCAGAAAAGCACCACAGAATGATCAACAAAGCTGTTGGGACTCTGAGAGCTTAAGTAAAGTTTTATGGAAATAATTGAAGTGAAGAGAAAAATCTAAAGAGGAAAAAAATGTGTATGAGCCAGGCGCTGGTGGCTCACGCCTGTAATCCTAGCTACTCAGGAGGCTGAGATCTGAGGATCGCGGTTCAAAGCCAGCCCTGGCAGGAGAGACCATGAGACTCCTATCTCCAATAAACCACGAGAAAACTGGAAGTGGCGCTGTAGCTCAAGTGGTAGAGTGCTCGCCTTGAGCTGAAGAGCTGAGGGACAGTGCCCAGGCCCAGAGTTCAAGCCCCATGGCCGACAAAAAAAAAAAATGTGTATGACCAACAGCAGGTAGCAAGTCGATTGGAAGTGGGCACAAAATTATTATGAAATTTATGTTGTACAGAATACATTTTTAAAAAGTTATAAGCGTTTATCTTAACAGATGCTGGAAATAACATCTTTAGCAACTATTTAAGCTCGGAATATAAACAAAAAATCATGATCTGCTTTAGGATAGGCTAAAAAGAAAAAAATTTTGAAAGTTCCTCCAAAAGTTACAAGGCTTCATAGTTGAAAGCAATACATCTGAAAAATTGTTTTTCTTTTCTCATAACAGTTATCATTGAAATGAGAAATTGTAACGAATCTTGACACTGGAAAGGTTATTTTACAAAATGACACATCAGTACACTTCATCGTCGCTTGATTAATTCTGAAATTGGACATTTTTAATTATGGGATACAAGGTCTATTTTATAAAATGCCTTTGTACTGAAGCGCAATTCAAATTCCTGACCCAATAAATAGATGGAAAATAGAGGCTGAGACCTTCCCAACGCAATCTTAATGTTCGGGGATCTATTCTTGTCAGCATCAGACATTCTTCAGTTGAGATCCCTGGGGAGTGAGCGCTGGGCTGATCACGTGGTCCCGGCAGGGAGGGCAGGTGACTGAGACACAGGAACTTACCTGACTCTGGAGGGTGGCATTGCCCTTATGGTGCAGATGTTCTGCAGTCTCTACATCAAAGTGATACGTTCCTTTACTCTCCTCAAACTGCTTTTTATATTCTCGCTGAAATACAGAACATCATACAGAAAAATCACTTCAGATGGAAAGAGACCGGTTAGAGCAATGATCGCTTACAAAGGCAAAAACAAAAAAGCAAGCCATCAAGAGCTGCCACACTGTTTTCAATGCGCAGTCAGCAATAATGACATAGACGTGGGTGATTTCTGATGCTAATACAGGTAGATAATGCAAGAAACGCAGCTCTAGGCGGCCCAGGCCAAAACACACACACACACACACACACATATACACACAACACAACACACTCTGAGGGCAATTAGCTGTGAATGCAAGGAAAAAAGGCATCTTTGCAGCACCAAAGAGTAGCTAGTGATGGGGTCTGGGGGGTGGGGGAGGAGGTAGTGCTGGTCTTGATCAAAAATAAAGCCAAGGTAGCGCTGGTCTTAATAAAAAATAAAGCCAAGTTCAAGCCCCAATACTGGCACAAAAATAAAGTATGCGCAAAAACAGAACAAAATCAGCCAGGTATGGGGCACAGGGCTGTAATCTAAGCTATGTGGACGGTGGAGGTAGGAGGATCATGATCCAAGGCTGACCCAGGCAAAAGCATGAACCTTATCTGCAAAATAAACTAAAGCATAAAGGGATGAAGAAGTTTCTCAAGTGGTAGAGCACCTGTCTAGCAACATAAGCCTCTGAGTTCAAACTCTAGTATTTGCCAAAAAGAAAAAGGAATTGAAGAAGAGAAGAAAAAACAAGAGGCGAAAACAGAGGGAAGCAAACCTGGCAGCCAGGGGGAAACGCTATTTACAAAGCTCAGTCATGAAGAAGATCAAAAGTGACATGGAAAAATGAAAGGGTGAAAAATAATTCAATTAATTTTCCTAATCCCAAGGAAAGAGTAAGATTTCTGGAAAAGGAACAAAGGAACCCAGGTACAGCCAGGTGAATTTTGAAACTTGCAAGTCACCAGCAGGAGTAAAAACGTTAAGTTGGACAACTGTAAGACTCCAAATGCAAAAGTCAGCAAGGATATCAAAACTGTAATTGGTGCTTTTCCCAATTTGGGGCAAGACTTTTTGAAGTAAACAGCAAGTCAAGGCTACAGTGACTTAAGAAGCTAATGTCAATGGCTCATAGAAATGGCACTTCTGTCTAGAGTGAAGGGAGACATTCACAAGTACATAGAAGGCAGCAGAAGGGGACTGGCAAAGAAATGCACATCATGTCTTTAGGAAGGTAGAATCTCCAAGGATGGGAGAGGAAGGAGAAGGAAGCCCAGGGGAGGGACGGAACGATAGCAGCTACCTAGGACCCGCTTCAAGGAGCTGCTGCTGTTGTACCCGTGGAAAAGCAGTGGCCTACAGAGGGGCCTGGCCTCCAGTGTTGCTTGTCAGCTAGGAAATAGAGATGTGTGTCCCACAAAACTGCAATCCGAATAAAATAAGGTCAAGGAGTACTGAAGGAATGTCGTTATAATATTCCCATTGTATAGCTTTGCCAAAGAAAATATCTTCGTGTGTGTGTGTGTGTGTGTGTGTGTGTGTGTGTGTGTGTGTGTGGTGTATGCATGGTGTGTGTGTGTGTGTGTGTGTGTGTGTGTGTGTGTGTGTGTGTGTGTGGTGTATGCATGGTGTGTGTGTGTGTGTGTGTGTGTGTGTGTGTGTGTGTGTGTGTGTGGTGTATGCATGCACATGCATGCCAGTCCTGAACTCAGGGCCTAGGCACTGTCCTTAAGCAAGGCTAGCACTTAACCCTTTAAGCCACAGCTCCACGTCTAATTTTTTGTTAGTTCATTGGAGATACAAGTCTCAGGGACTTTCTTGCCTGGGCTGGCTTCAAACCACCACCCTCAGATCTTAGCCTCTCAAGTAGCTAGGATTATAGCCATGAGCCACTGGCACCTGCCTACTCTACTACTTTTAAATGGAAGAGAGAGGGTGTGGAGGGAGGGAGGGAGAGGGTTAGAGAGAGAGAAAGAGAGAGAGAGAGAGAGAAAGGAAGGAAGGAAGGAAGGAAGGAAGGAAGGAAGGAAGGAGATAAATGAAAATGAAACTAAGACAAAAGCAGACATGGAAAATAAAGACACTGTAGATTTTCTTATTTCATTAGAAGTTATTTTATAATACAGGTGTATAATAATGACAATGTAATAGCCTAGAATAGATTCTATTACTGAGTCAAAATCCAGAAGTAAAAAAGCCTAGGGTATTATGTTTGGGAGGGAAAAAAAAGGGATTCATACTGAGAAAGGGTTAAAAAATATTTTTCTAGTTAAATTGCCTATTTCAGTCACAAACAATTTAAGAATTCTTACTTTAAAAAAAAAAGCACATTTGAACTAGATCCGCAAAAGAAATCTCTAATACTTTGATTTGTTTTCCACATATAATAGTCTTTGCTGCCTCTTAGTGGAAGGTTTCATGGAACAACACTATTATGTATTTTTAATTTATAGAAAATTAAAGAAGTGGAAAACGATGAGAGCTCCATTTTCCAGAATGTGTTTCCTCAAAAAAATCAACACTGCTACATATGCTCATAAGCTACTCATTTTTTCTACCTCCTAGGCAGACAAAAGAAAAAGACTTCTGATCTATATGAAAGAGACCTAGGACAGCATGGCGGTTAATGCCTGTAACCCTAGCTACTCTAGACGTACAAATAAGGAGACCATAGTCTGAGGCTAGCCCAGGCAAAACGTTACTGAGAGCCCAACTCTACAAATAAGCTGGGCATGGTAGTGTTTGTGATGCCAGTCACACAGGGCCATGACTGAAACATCTGTGGTCCCATGCAACAATCCAAAACTCTATTCGACAAACACCTAAACTAAAAAAGGGCTGGAGTGTGGTTCAAATGTTAAAGCAACTGCCTAGTGAGCATAAGGGCCTAGGTTTAATCCCCAGGACAGCCTAGGGAGAAGGGGGGCAGGTTCTATGGATCTTTTTAAATAGTAACTTATAGATGAATAATTTATTTAAATATTTATTCATATAGCTAATTTATCTCAGACATTAAGCAATCTTTCATTTAATCTTTTAATAAAATTGACTTTTCCAAAGTCAAGAAAACTTTGGTTCCCTTTTCTTTAAAATTTAAAAGAAAGCCTTTCTAATGTGCAACTATTTTGAGCCAACATCTTACTGTACAATTTCAGGAAGTAGATGGTTCAGAGTAATATTGGTAGGTCAAACTTGCTGGTCCATGATGTAATCATTTAGTCACAACTTTTCTACAGGAAAAAAAAAGTTGTAACCTAGGCAAAAGAACCACCTGCAAGAAGATTTAAACCTTATAAGGGGCACATAAATTAAGTAGCAACATTCTTAGGCTTTTTATCTTGTTGAAGATGCTTGCAATAACTTATATTAAACTGTAATTTGTTATTATTATAAAACACAGGTCAAAATTCTTGAAAACAAATTTTGCCTCCGGTGACATGAATTCTTCCAACTACCACATATTTTTTTTCTCCTGGTATAGAGCTTGAACTCAGGGCCTTGAGCACCCTCTTTCCCATTTCTTCCCATCTCTTCCTCTCCGTCTCCTTCTCCTTCTCCCTCTCCCCCATCCTCTCCTCTCCTATTCTCTCTCTCTCTCTCACTCTCTCTCTCATTTTTCTTTTCTCACAGCTGATGCTCTACCACTTGAGCCACAGCTCCAGTTCTGGCTTTTTGCTGGTTAATTGAAGTTAAGAGTCTCCTGGATTTTTCAAGCTGAGTAGCTAGGAAGACAGGAGTAAATATCAGCACCCAGTTTGTTTTTTTTTCATTACCCACATGATATTTTGGTTGGCTGATTTACCAGGAATCCCCAAATTGGAAATGGCATTCCAATTTCCTTAAATGGAAAACTTAACCTGAGTGAGGAGGGGGAATGGTCAGGGATGAATTACCATGGCAATGACCCAGGGGGAGGGCATAAGGCTGTGAAGAAAGCAGAGGCTCTTAAGACAGAAATTGATTGATTCTAGAAACTGAAACCAGTCTCTGAAGGGAGAGCAGAATGTATGGAGGTGATGGACACCCTGATCAGACAGGACTGTATGATTTAAGGGTGCTGGAACCAAGTACTAATTCTGACCTATAAATATTCCTCTAACCTTTGCTCATCAGAATGCAAAGAATGACATCATCCCTTTCATCTAAGGACCAACGGGTTTGGAAAAAATGTGCATACCTCTAATCCTAGCTACTCAGAAGTCTGAGATTGAAGGTTCATAGTTAGAAGCCAGCTTCACCAAGAAAGTCCATGAGACTCTTATCTTCAATTAACCACCTACAAGCTGGAAGTAGGAGAGTGTTTGCCTTAACCCCCCCTCCTCACCCCCCCAACAAGTTCAGGGATAGCAACCAGACCCTGAGTTCAAGCCCCAAGATTGGCACGAAAAAATAGAAAATAAAACATAAATTAGTTAGAACAAATCTCTGGCAGTATGAATTACTTGCATATACTTTCAGAAGGATGACAGTAGTAGCAACGTGTGCAGGGGGAGACATACCAAATAATGAACAGGTGTTTTGGTTTTACAGAAGCTATGTAGTTATCTCTGCACGTGGAGCTAAGTTGTCTCTCTCCATTTGAGGTTGGGAACCAAGTTTGAATGACAGTTTTAAGTCGATGGCTACAAGCATATCTGCAGGAACAACTCTCTTCACTTTCCCTATGTGTTGTCCAACATCTGTGTCTTCCTTTGGCTGTGCCTATTCAGTAAACTAGGACACTGAGAGCGTGATTGACAAGAGTTAGAATAGTCCTGATGGCTTATAAAGTGGAATTAGGGCTCCCCACCACCAGGGGGCATTCTGAGACATTCCAACTAGCGCCAAGTGACCCAGGGTCATTAATTTCTGGAGGGGGGTGGGGGGAGTCTGTGTCCTGATACCCTTTAGGGTTGACAGGAGAGACTGCCTGTGTGAGCAGTGAACACAAGGCGCTCATCAGCACAGTCCTGAAGCACCCAGCCTACCCTCCCAGCTGCCATTACGAGAAACCATGACAAGATGAAAAGAACAGTAGCAAGTTAATATAAATACCTTGATGACTGACTTTCAGGGAAAATGTAATTTATTTATTTATTTTTAAATCATTATTATTTGAAAATGCTAAAAAAAAAGAGGTATTACATAAGTCAGGCAAACAGTACCTTTCCTTTTGGATGTCACTGAACTATGAAAAAATATTATAATTTAAAAACAATTTTTGTTTTGTTCTAGACAAAGCCTGGCCATCGTAGCTGGAGTTGGGCTCAGATTCATTCTGCATCCTCTGCCCCACAAGTGCTGGGATTACAGCTGTGTGCCACCTTGCCCAGCTGAACTAAGATAACGCTTCACATTACTAAGTATCACATACTAAATATCACACTCTGGTCTGGCCTCGATGAAATAAAAGATCTGTAATGACAGAAGCTGAACTTCAAAGAAGTCTGAGTGCAGTACAGATGAAGAGAAGGAGGGGACAGAAGACAGAAAGAACATGGACACAACACTCCGAAGTGTGGATGTATGGGAGAGGAAGACCCCGCAAACACCGTCAGGGAAAGCCCCAGTTTGGGTGGGATTTGGGCAGGAAGCAGATAGCTTTAGTTAGTTACTGGGAGAGGGTCCACAAAAAGGCACTGTCTGAAGAAGCAGGTGAGCTCACAAACACAGCACGCCAGCTGCTGCTTCCGGGACCCATCCGACAACCACTTACTTCACTGAGCATTTTGGTGGTTTTCAAAGCATGGTCTAAAAACAACAAATTTGGGAGATCTGACACCGGCGCGTGCATATTTTGAATGTCTTTCTTGTACTTCACCTATGAAAACAGCACGGAACAAAATGCTATCTAGGAGAAGAAAAATAAGCTTTTTGTGCCATCACCCAGGCTTGCTTTCTTAAAGTGGCCCCACTCAGAGGGAAAGGGATGAATCCATAAACAGCCACTAGATGGTGCTAATTCACTACTGAATAAGTAAGAAATAAAAGTTTAATTTATGGACTGGGAAATATTTTGATAATTCCATTTATTGTTTGCATACTCCAAAGGGGTGATGGTAACAGATTCAAATAATTATAAGAGAAACTCTGCTTTCAAGAAATAGAGAATAAGCACTTTATTCTTTAGACCTTGCAACAAGATTTCTTTCAATTTTGCTTTATGGTAATTTGGAGCTTGGGGTATTTTTCACCTTATTGCCATAGATCTGATTTGGCTTCTTCCTTTTCTTTTATACCAGCTGCTTTGGGAATTTAACACTAGTGATAAAGTAACATATTGATAACAGCATTTCAAACCCTTTGTTCTGGGCACATTTCTAAACAATTTATATATGTGTAACATTTAATCTTGACAAGTCTAATGGTTGTCACTTTAAGTAATCTCATTTTACAGATGAGAAAACTGAAACATAAGAAGATCAAGACATAATATTAAGTGGTGGTAAGAGGTTCAAATCCAGGTAATCTGATTTGAGCGCTCAGCCCAAGTTTCTAGGTTCCTTTAAATATGTTTTGTCTTTATTTCTTTTATGTTTACACACACAAAACAATTAAGAAAAAAATCAGTCTGGTAGTCCCGATGGTCCTAAAAAAAAACCCAGGTGTTTCCATTGCTGTAAATTAAAGCTTATTATTGAATACAGAAAAATTATAACACTTTCTAAATATGAATGGAAGCAAGATAAACTAATTCCTGAGGAAATGATGAGCGCTTGCAGGGATGAGCTAACAAAGCAATCATTAATAATATTTAACTTTCACCTTTGAAAAGGTTCTCTGAACTTTTCAACTATGACCAAGTGATCAATGTTTTGTGCTTCTGTTTTCATATGCTGAGTGTTTCTACAAAGAATTTTAAACATCATTTCATGTAATCATGTAATCTTGATTTCACAATTCCTCACTTTAAAACATAGAAAAAAATCTACCTTATGAAGTACTTCATAGCAACTCCATGACAGAATTGAAAAAAAATTAAGAGATTATCATGGGAATTTGTGCAAGTTTCTTTATGACAGATCACAATGTACATGATAGTACTTTATAATAAACCCAATTTTGTGAATATAATTATATGGGTTAATGATTTCTCCCACCTACTAATTTGTGATAATACATAGTTATTTCCTGCTAAACTCTTATCATCTATATCTACACTTAATCAGATATAATAATATTATTTGCAATACTTTTCATATTTATTAATTTATTAGTAATCAGTAATCATTAAGAGTAAATTATAATTATGTATTTTGGTCCAAAAAAATCCTTCAGGGAAATATGATTCAGTGTTTTCAACTACAAATGACTTGGGGCTGACATGATCTCAATTAAGTACCAGTGATTAGGCACAGGCTTGTCTAGGAAAACAAGAATTAGTAGATATTAAAAATGATTTTCTGAGGATTACAACTTACGTTACTGGCCAGTGAGGTAGCAAGCTGATTTTGTCTAAAGGAAGCACTATCAAGAGGATTGTAATGATGTTTCTTATCCTTCATTTCATTGTCAAATTTTTCTTTATATTTAACCTGCCATAAAAGGGGGAAAAGGAAGCAGTTAAACAACACATTCATGTTCTAAAGTAACCTATTTGTTTTTTTTAAAAGATCAAACAAAAGCTTGCAAAATTCAAATTCCTAGTATTCCTCTCCCTCTACAAAGCTTAAAAAAGCACCATTTTTTTTAAAGTGTGCTACTTGAACATTGATCATGAATGCAATTAGGCATGAATTCAAATTCTGTATTTATGAAAATTACACACTAATAAATCAAGGGTCTTATATGTCAGTTTCCCTGTCTGCATACCTTAAGGACTACCACATTTAGAAAAATTGGATGATGGGTCTCAGAATTTGAATATGAATTTACCTGAGGAAATTTTTCAAAATAAAGGACATGATTTGCAGTAAGGTTTTTCTTCTTTGTTGCCCACATTTCTTTTTGTTTCAACAGTTTATGTATAGGAAATACATTTTCTGAATGCCCTAGGTCTACTTAATGCTATTCCGAATTTTCCTGCTTTAACTCCAAAATGTGTTCAGCAGGAAAATCACACCTAAATTGCTTAAGTGATTTTTTTTTTCTTTTTGAAGTAGTCATAGGACAACACAAAAGGATTATCAACTTGCAGGATGGTGTATCTTTTTCCCTGAATAAAGAAACACCAGTAGATACTATAATGCTTAATGGAATACCCAGACAGATTCTCTGACACATAAATGAGTCTACCAAGTTACATCTCACAATCCCTTCATAAGTATGGCTGAAAACGTGTGGCTTTCCCAAGCAAAAATTGGTTACTCTGTTCCTATGCTATTTCTACCGCATCACAATTCCTGTGATACTTTGTTTTCTTCTGCCGATATCATTATTAAACAGACTGGAGGGTGGCTCCCATCATCTGGTAGAATGAGGGTCTCCTGTAAGGACGTGTGGGAATACAGCACTTGGGTTATAGTTCAAGATGGCGTTAAGTATTTTCTGTGTGTTTCCATCTGGTAATGGCAACTTTCTGATAGGCACATTGCCTTGGAAGTGTTTTCTTAAATTAACACTGGTGAGAATTTGCCAAGTGAGACAAATTCTGGCTTCTTTTTCAAATGACTTTATCGTAATATTTTTTTTTCGAATTACTACTTGTAATCAGGGACAAGAGTACACATAGGAAAACAACAACAACGTTTCCTTCACTGTTTCACGTAGTAGCTGGTGCAAACACAAAGGTCTTACCTGTGTCCCCTGAATACCCAAACCCACCCTTACTGAGGCTCTTCCCATCATATTTCAATAACAGGTTTTGTCTCTCTTAGGGATGTGGCGTATTCACTAACAAGGAGGAAAATACCTTTTAAGATGTTTCTAACCTGAATGAGGTTTTTCATCCTCACTCCCTCTCCTCTTTCTGAGTCAAACCTTCTCACAGCCAATCGGGTTCTATAAAGGCTCTCAGGTCTGGGTGAGTTTGGATCTACTGATCCAATTACATAAAGCAAGCTCTTTCCCTTCCCTCCCCCCATAGTACTGGAATTCGAACTCAAGGTCTTTTGCTCTTCCTCAGCTGGAGCTCTACCCCTAAGCTGTGCTTTGAGGCCTAAATTTCTCTTCACTTCTCCAAGTCCAAGCGCCATGAAGTGACTTAGTAATTATTAGCTAAATGACCACCATGGGTTCTATGATCTTTGGCCATTGTGAGCCCAGCCCAGTCTTTGTGGACCAGGAATTCCCAACACAATGACATGGGCAAGGAGAGACAATGTGTAGGGTGGGGTAACTTGGAAATGAAAATGACAAGTCCTTATGAAACCTGGCATTTGCTCTGCTAAGAAAATGTATATTTATGAAAAACAATAATCAATCTGTCAGTCATATACTTCCGTTGCATGTAATAATAAGCATGGTATTGTATGATTTATTTCCCTCAAAGCTGCAGTAATCTCAGTGATACAATTCATAAGACAACTCCAGGACAAAGACACAAGTATTCACCTCATTAATTAACTGAAAGTAAAACAACTGTATTATATATTTTTAATATATTGACCAGACAGTGACACACAGCTGTTTCTTGCCTTACTCTTTTGGGTTTGCACATCGTGAACCGAGAAAATGGCCAACTGGCTTAAGTGGGTTTCATCTTTCACTGACCTGCTCAATCAGCTCTACCATTTGAGCCACAGCTCCAGTCCCAGGTTTTTGCTGGTTAACTGGAGGTAAGAGGCTTTATATAACGAAGCTAGCTTTGAACTCAGATCCTCAGATCTCAGCAAGCTGAATAACTAGGATTACAAGCATGAGTCACAAGGGCTTGCCATTCTGTCCTATTTTCAATACACAGTTCACACACCTGAGAGTCTACATCTGTATTTCCTCATATCACCCAACAAATTCTAGCACTCTGTGTATGTATGTATGTATCTATCTATCCATCCATCTATCTATCTCTGTAGTGGCAGTATTGGGTTTGAATCAAAGCCTTGCACTTCCTAGGCAAGTTCTTTACCACTTGAGTCACACCTCTAGCGCACAACCCTGGCAACAACTTGTCTTGACTGTAACTGGTGACCCAATCATAGCACAGAGCATCCCCATTCCAGTCGTAAGACCACCGAGGAAAGAGTATACATGCTAGTTTTAAGGCACAATCTTTCTCCTTAAACCTAGAGACATTCTTTTAACCATAAATGAAGTCACTCACATGACTAACTTTCTTTATGTTATGAATAGTATACCTCCTAAGCTGAGTTTGGTGGCTCATATCTGTAGTCCCAGCTACTAGGGACACAGAGATAGGGACAAGTGCAGCTCAAGGCCAGCATGGGCAAAACGTTAACAAGATTCCATCTTTAAAACAAAAAGTCAAGCATTGTGGTTCATACCTGTAATCCCAGCCATACAGGAGGCATTAATAGGAGGATCAACGTCTAAGGCCAGCTCTGGGCAAAAATCTCAAGACACTACATGAAAACCAATTCAAAGCAAAAAAAAAAAGGTAGAACATGGCTAAGTGTTAGATTGCTTACTTATCAAGCACAAGGTCCTGAGTTCAAAACCTTGACACTACAAAAAAAATGCTATACCTAGTGGTTCTGATAATGGATCATTTTAATCACTTTATTAAAAGGCTCACTATATACATTTCTAACTCCTAAACACTGTCTAGAGAACTTTAACCTCAACCACTTTCAGAGGCTCATGCATAGAGAACACACTGAATGGGTTAGGCTATAGTGACATAATGTAAACAAGTTGTCAAAGTGTTTCTGGACAAATTAGTGTCTCTGTGGTTCAAAGCCCAACTGACCACGCTTCCTTCACCAGGGCTTTGGCCTTCTCTATGCACCTCAAACTCACCAGAAGCCAGAAAAGACAGGAAACTAGGGACCCTGCACAAGGCTTTCCATTGGAGCCATATGAACCACTGTTAGGAGAAAGATGAAACTTTGATGAGTACACTTTAAATATCATTGTAAATGAAAAATGAGCAATTATGTCACCACATGGCTTCCAGTTCTCCTCAATATGGGGTGAAATTAGTCGACAAATGGCTTAGGAAAATCATGCTAATAGGACCAATATAAAGCTCACCATAAAGACCAACCATATATTAAGTCTGAATTTTACACCCGAAGCTGTCTCTGCCCTTAAGCTCCTTACAAGACATCATTTTATTAACTTGGTACCAAATGTTCATAATCCAGAGACAAATGTGTTTTTTGTTAAATCCATCCTTATATACTGATTGATTGCCTAATCTGTACCATTCTAGACAAGTGAATTAGAGACAGAAAGGCCTAGTGCTGGGAGTAGAGAGAAAGCAACTACAGAGGTAAATTGGGTTGTGACATTTAAGCTAGTGCTTGGGCGTGAGGAGGTTGGTGGAGGGTTTGTCTGCCAGGGAAAATTGGTGATTCTCCAAAGCAAGGAATGCCCTTCACAACTTAAGAGCAATGCTTCTGACTAAAAAGTTCTCTAGCCCTCTATAAAAGATTTTAGGTTTATTGGCTGGGAAGGTGGCTCAGAGGTAGAGCACTTGCCTTGCATGCATGAGGCCCTGGGTTCAATTCCTCAATACCACATAAGCAAAAAGAAAAAACCTGGAAGTGGTGCTGTGGCTCAAGTGGTAGAGCGCTAGCCTTGAGCTGAAGAGCTGAGGGACAGCGCCCAGGCCCAGAGTTCAGGCCCACGACCGGACCCAAAAAAAAAAAAGATTTTAAGTTTAAAACAAATATAAAAATGCAATTTTAGAACAATACTAATAATTATAAATGTGTAGGATTTCCCTGATGGTATATGATTAAGCAAGAAACCTCATGTTTACTTATAGTGTTCATCATACCATTAGGTTATATTGTTCATCACATAAATTTCAATTAATAAATCCATATGCTATATCTGATGTTTTAAGCTGATAACATCAAATAGTGGATGTACCTTACATGTGAGATATGTCTGAACCAATCATTTTCCCTTGGCATATGAGATTTTACTTTTATTTGTTACAGATTTTTTTCATGACCTGACCATCATTGTACATGCCTTCCAACTTTAACAAGGATAAGTTTACAACTATGAGGTCCAAGCATTTGTACCAGGTAATAGTAGAAAGGTGTTTCCATTTACTTTTCCTGAGGGAAAGCCATAGAGCCTAACTGACTGGCAAAGTGGGAGCATCTTGCTCCCCAGTTCTGAGATACCATTTTTTTTCAGCGAGTATATCTCATACGCATGAGCCATGGCCTCTGCCTCCTCTTCTGCAGGTCTTCTCGAGCTCTTTTCTCCCCATACTCTGCCCCTTCTATTCCCTACTTACCATACTCCTGGACCTTTTCCCTTCTGTGTACCAACATGCCTTGTCCTTCCTTTAGGAACCACACGAGCTCAAAGTCACCAGTGATCATATGAAACTACACTTTGTGCATTGATTTCTAGTTGGGACACCTGAGAATAGAAAGGAGACCTCCTGACTTCATTCTCGGAGTCCCAGCTATTCAACTGCCCAGCTTTCTCCTCTCCTGATGGATTATACAAACACAAGCTTGCTAAGAAGCTCCTGGAAATGTAAGATGACCCAGACAAAGGAAACTGCCAACAGCAATTTGCCTAAGCATCTGGTCACTCAGTGGGAAAATAATATAAGATTAAAAAAAATACAAGTGGGGATGAAGCAGGAATATTATATGTTGAATTTAAAATGTGAAAGCAAAGGTTCAAATACCAATTAAAAAAATAAACTGAAGAGACCAGAGTCCAAGAGATTATATTCCTACTTCCTCCCCATGATTGGTGTATGAATTCATCTAAATGGAATATAGAAGAGAAAATACTCTGAATACCCATATTTAAATGACTCCTACAAAGTTATGTCATCTTTGGCCATCTTCTTTGTGTGTGGTGGGGATAGGGAGTCAGTCCTGGGCTTGACCTTAGGGCCTTGGCACTGTCTCTGAGTTTTTGTGCTCAAGGCTAATGCTCTACCACTTGGGCCACAGCCAGCTCCACTTCCTGCTTTTTGGTGGTTAATTGGAGGAAAGAGTTTCAAGGGCTGTGCTGCCTAGGCTGGCCTTGAACAGTAATCCTCGGATTTTAGCCTTCGGAGTAGCTAGCATTACAGGTGTGAGCCACTGGAGCCCGGTACCATTTTGAACTGTTCAACCTCACACAATGCTAAGGAATAGACATTACTGCTGTCAGCAATACCAAGAAGGTAGCTAACTGTAAAGAAATACCAGTAAGGAAGCTAAATATAGAGAAATGAGGCACTTGATCCAAGGTCACCTTGCTAGGAAACAACAGAAAGAACAGAGTCTCGTCCAGGTGGCCTAATCACTAATCCAACCAAATTTAGGCTCCACAATCTGCCCTGATGACACCTCTTAATCCCCAGAAAGGGGTGGAAATGTAAGAAGTCAGGGGACTGGAATGGAAACCTACACATGCCAGCTCTCTTGCCAGCCCTTCCAAGCAAGCATTATTTGGAATGCAAGGAGCTTGGTGTCCCAGCCCACCTTGGCTCTTGACCAAGAGTGTCACTCAAATGTCCCCAATCTCCTGTACGACAACAGACCCCTGGGCCACAAGGTTGTCTTCTAAGTGTAAGACAATTGGGAGGAGAGTCGATGAGAAGTCTCTCCTGTGTATCCCTTCTCTCTCAGGTATTTACCTCTACCGCCAGCAAGACTTCTCAACCACAAGTCACTTCCTGCCTCACTTCCTACTCAATACAACACTGACCCACTACAAATCAAAGCTCCTCTCAAATTCTTCTTTATGTTTAGCACTCACATGCTTTTGCTCCAAAGGCATGTGAAGCTGCTGTGAAACTTCTGTGCCCTGTCACCCTCGTTCCCAACCTTTATTTTGGATTCTCCCCTGGAACAGAGCTTTCTCTCCCATTAACCCAGTGCAAAGTTACTTCCCACACAAAACCTTTCTAGACTGTGTGTCCCTTCCCACACTAACAACCGACCAGAATGTTGACGGGTACAAATGACATTTCACATTCATTTCTTGGCATTCCCCTTTTCTACTGAATTATTGGAGGGAGGTCTTTTTACATGCTTATCCTTGCTTTTCCTTAAAGTATCTATTCACCTCATTTCCCCTCTTTGGTGCGGATCTGTTAGTCTATTATTGTTTCTGTTTTAAAGAATGTATATTTTATAGGGATTAAAATATTTTTATCATATGTATTATAAATCATTTTCTGAATATTTAAAGAATCACAGTTGTTCTTTTTTTGTATTTTGCAAAACTGTTCTCAGACTTTCTCTTCTAAACTCTAATTTATTCAAATATGTGATTCCATCCTAATTTTTGTGAAGTCTATTTGCATTCTAATTAGAAATGCATGGAGTTTTTAAAAATTAATTTTGGAAGAATTAACATTATGAAGAGGCTAAGTATCAACAATCTCAAGCTGAGAGCCCAGTGCATAGTTTCATCTACTCAGGGTATATTTTTCTATTTTTTTCCTTCAAACTTCCCTTTTACCATTTACACCTCTCCATTTTAAGAAGAGGTTTTTATCTGATCAGGATTTATTTTACTTGGTTCTTTTTTTTCTTCAAACTTTAGACTTTTCACCATTCATGCCTCTCCATTTTGAGAAGAAATTGATTTAAAATAAAATTCTGTTTGATGACATTACTATTGATTCTGCAAATACTGCCTTTTCCACTGGGAAAAAAGTTTTTTATGCCACTGATGTATCTAACTATTCTTCTATAGCTTCAGCATGCCTGACCTTGTTTAAATCCAATTCTTTGAGCCTTTTGTGGTACCTAAAGTCTTCTGGATTTTCTTTTAATATTTTAAAGATATCTTTCTGTTGTTGGTGGTAGTGGTGGTGGTTGTGGGGCTTGAACTTTGGGCCTGGGTGCTGTCCTTCAGTTCTTCAGCTCAAGGCAAGTGCTCTACCACTTGAGCCACAGCGCCACTTCCAGTTTTCTAGGATTTATTGGAGATCAAAGTCTCATGGACTTTCCTGTACAGGCTGGCTTTGAACCGCAATCCTCAGATCTCAGCCTCCTGAATAGCTAGGATTACAGGCATGAGCCACTAGTGCCCCGCATTTAAAATTACCTTATTGTTTGTTTCCTATCTTTAATCCACTTCAGATCCACTATTGTACTTGATTCAAGATTCAGGTCCAATGTAGTTTTTGCCATGACCAATGGCCAGTTTTCAGTACAATTATGAAGTAATCCAGCATTTTCACAATACTTGAAACAACACTTTCTTCATACATTATATTCTCGTGAATACTGGAATCTACTTCAGGACTCCAGCTGGCCTGCTGGTGACAGTACCTTCATGGGACCAATGCCACAATGAGGTAAGTCCAGTGTTTTTTGTTGTCTTGTGAGGCTTCTTCACTGGGCTTCATCTTCCTACTTTCAAGGCCATTGTTAGGCATTCCACTTCCATTCGATATTTTTTATCTATATTAGAAAAATCCTTGTTGGATTCTAATTAAAATTATAAGCCATTTTTATGGTAGTTCTGAGAGTACTAGAACTTTTATCTATTGTGACTTTCAACTGATCTGCTTTTTCAGTTCTGTATACTTTTCTAGGTCTTGATGTGTGCTCTTCAGTAAGAGTTGATTTTTTTCCTTTTTATTACCACTGTTTTATTGTCTAATTATACTAAAACATTTACAAGTTGAGAAAATATTTTTATTTGAGTTAAATATTACACATGTATGTATTTTGTGTGCACATAAAATAGAAAAACAATTATTCATTATGGCTATTGCTGACTCCTGAAAATTCTCAGGAATATGACAGCATAGCCAAACTCATTAAAACAGGTTCAGATGGGAGCCTGGGGAAAAGAAAACGACTTTATGCTTAAAATTAGACTACATTTTTTTTCTTTGACTGAAATTTGTAATTATTGTAAACCTATCTGAAATGGTTTCAGAAACATTATCTCTATTTATTCTTGCCATTAAAGATATTATCTAAAAATGAAATCTTTTCCTGTGCTCCTCGAAACAAAATCTCTGAATAAAGCCATTGTGGAATGGTCACTGCAGGGTCTTACTTGACTGGAAAGTTTAGAAGTTTCCACAGCATGTTCAAAGTCTGGTCTTCCAATTACAGCTGGCTCTTTATTCATTATTCCTTGCCCTTTCTTGTATTCTGCCTAAAATGAACAATAAAAATGTTACTTATTCTCACTTTCTAATGAAGAGTTTCATCAACATTAGTCAAAATAAAATATACTAGCACCCCCTCCATTAAAAGAGACACCATACAACACACCCAACTACTAAAATTCTGACTGCTCGAGCAGAAATTTACTTAGTAATAGTTGTTTGAATAAACTTCACATTTAGCAGTAATTACTACTTTGGCTCTAAATATGCAGTCATCATCTTCGTATTTATTTGTATATGCTGCAAAAACAATGGGGCAAACTTCTTGGGTAACTGGGGGACCGCATTCTTCATGTGGCTGGCATTCCTGGTTCTGTTTGTTCTCAGGAATGCATTTGACAGTGATTAGCATGCAGTTGAATTTAGAAATCTGTAATTTTTAAGGTGCACCAAGCCTATGTCATTTCCATTGTTAGCCTGTTACAATCATTTTTTGGGGGGGGTCCGGTCGTGGGGCCTGAACTCTGGGCCTGGGCGTTGTCCCTCAGCTCTTCAGCTCAAGTCTAGCACTCTACCACTTGAGCCACAGCACCACTTCCAGCTTTTTTCTTTTTGATATGTGGTGCTGAGGAATCGAACCCAGAGCCTCATGCATGCAAGGCAAGCGCTCTACCCCTGAGCCACCTTCCCAGCCCGTCAATCATTATTTTTTTAACCAGAATTTTTAGTAAATTTAAACAAAAAGATCCTCAATTAAGGAGGATAGCTTAGAGAAAATAAGAAATAGCTATGCCATGCAGGAAATGTGCAAAGGTGAGAGCTGGTGGGTGAGAATCTGTACAATGAGCAGCCACAGTTGAGAATGAAGTCAAGTGAAATTCCTTTGATGAGAATGCACTGAGAGATAATACAGAACTGGCAACCTTGACTTTCAGGATGAGGTGCTTCAATGTGACCTTGTTCCCAAATTGTACTAATTCCTGTGGAAGTATGGTAATGCTAGCCATAGTCAACTTGATTTGGGGCGGTTTCTGCATATATCTAAATAATTTACATAATTACATAGATAATTCAGGAAAACCTTGAGATGTCACTAATTCAGATAGATTAATCACCCTAATTAAATTAGCCACCCAATGACCAAAGCTGTACTTGTTTCCTACAAAAATAAAACATCATTTTTTTTTGCACAAGATTAAGAGAGACAAATTACATTGCTTATGATCTTGGAGACCTGAGTCGCCTTCTTGATGTCTGGTCTGTCAAGTTCTGCTGTGTATGTGTGGGCGTCCTGTACATCTTTTCTATACGAAATCTGATCAAAGAGACAGTTTTGAAAAAGGAAATGGGGGAAAAAAAGAAATGATAAATTAGTAATTTCATTTTGTATTAGCCTTCCTGTCCCGAACATTATTTATCCTTGTAATAACAGCTTAGGGAACCTACTGACCTATGCCTGCTTTTTTATGCTTTTTATAGAAGTCATTCATTTATTGTAGAGATATTAATTCTTTAATACCTATGTCTCATGGACATTAACATAACTGGAATGAAAATACAGTGCCTAAAAAAAAAAACAAACAGAAAACCAAAAGCAGGCTACAAAACTGGTCTTAAATGCTTTTATAATAGTACTCCATCAGCATGCACTTGTGTCTTCATACGTTCATAGCCACATTAAGAATGTCCTTATGAAGCACGGCAGCCTAACATACATCCTCAACCCCAGGGAATGCAAGAGAAGCCCTTGCAAGTGAGGACTGAAATTGCATATGCTGAGCCCCTGAAAGGGCCCAGTTTTTTGCCTCTGAGTTATACCCTTTTCTCCCTTTCCAAATGGGTTCTTCCAATGCTTCTGCCCAGGGAGGAAGGCCTGATCATGGTCTACCAGCAATGGTTTTATCATCTTGTACGTATCGCCTCTATGACTCTATCCTCCCAAATAGAAACAACTTGTATTAAGGAGGAGTCTCCCTCCGAATGCATGTGAGACACAATCTAGCCAAAGTACACAATTTGAGATTTAAAGGTTAAAAATACAATGTTTGCTAAATTTAAAATTTATATTGTTCATTGTGTTTGCTGGCTTTATCTTGACTGGCCAATGTTAAGGAAATGACTTACAGACAGGATGAGAAGACTGATGGCCAACACCCCACCCACCTGCCCACCAGTCTATTTCCTGAAATTTGTTCTGAGATGAAGTGATAATCACCCTGGCCATATCACCAGAGGCTAGATGACCTGTCTATTAATTATATTCTATTAAAGTTATCAGACAAAGTATGAAGTATGGGTATTTTCCAACCCATCTTAGGTTTTTTTTAGAAATATGAACTACTGGACATCTGTAAAAAGTGCACAGTTATTTATGTCTTATACAAGGCAAGTATTTTTTTTGGTCAGTTGTGGGGATTGAACTCTAGGCCTGGGCCTTGTCCCTGAGCTCTTTTGCTCAAGGCTACCATTCTATCACATAGAGCCACAGCACCATATCAGTTTTTGAGGAGTTAATTGGAATAAGAGTCTCACAGGGACTTTCCTGCCCTGGCTGACTTTGAACTTTGATTCCCAGATCTCAGCCTCCTGAGTAGCCAGGATTATAGGCATGAGCCCCCAGTGCCCAGCCTAAGGCCAGTATTTTTATGTTGCTTGTAAGCATTCAGCAACAGCACAAAGTGGGTTACATACTAAAAATTTACATTCCTGAGATTCATCCACAATCTCTTATAACAGAATGTTATTAAATGGAACATAAGAATACATGATTTTAATGAATTCCTCATTGATCACTAAACCGATGTACTAGGTCATATTGATGTATCCTGATAGTCTCCACACAACCTCAAAGAGTAAAAAGAAAATTCCTACTTTCTTTCTTCTTTCAAAATTATCAGCTGTAAGGAGTAATGCCTTAATACTTCAGTACTTTCATATGAGTTGCATTATCTTATTTCCATAAAAATCACTTATATAGATTTCTGTTCATTCTTATAAGTCTGTATTTTCCTTACCAACAAGACTATTTTTAAACTACATTTATAATCATGAATCAGCCTGACACGTGAACACAGCTTAGACACAATTAGTATAATTTCAACCAGAATAACTGCTTTGTTCAGCATTTATTTTTTCACGGGCTTTGCAATAAAAAAAAACAACTTCAGGTAATTTTTTGAAATACAGGTATTGAAAGAAATAACTTTTTAAAAAGTTAAGGAGATCCAGGCACCAGTGGCTCATGCTTGTAATCCTAGCTACTCAGGTGGCTGAGATCTGACGATCACATTTCAAAGCCAGCCTGTACAGGAAAGTCCATGAAATTATCTCCAATAAACCACCAGCAAACCAGAAATGGCACTGTGGCTCAAGTGGTAGAGTGCTAATCTTGAGCTGAAGAGCTGAGGGACAGCGCCCTGGCCCAGAGTTCAGGCCGCACGACTGAAAAAAAAATTAAGCAGAGTGAGGGAAGGAGTGGGCAGGAGAGGGACAGGAATGAGTAGGAATATTGAAAGGAATGACATCGGTCAAGATATACTGTATGCATTTACTAAATGGTAACTCCTTTGTATAACTACTTAAAGATAACAACAACAACAACAATAGTAATAATAGCTGGAAATGGCATTCTCTTCTGGGGTAAAATTTGAATCTTTGAAAACTTTAAAAGAAGCCAGTTTTGTTGGCTTTAAAGAGCCTCATGCTTATCTATGAATGATGGTAAGTCAATTAAACACAAGCTGTGTAAACAACAACAACCACAAAATAACAGGCTCACAGGTGAAAGCAAACCAAAATTATTTCCCACCTCCAAGAGTAAGTTACTGTGTTCTTATGAAAACCACCGAGGAAGAGGACGGGGAGAATACTTTTTGTTTAGAAAAGAAAAGGGTTAGGAAAAAAAAATTTTTTAAGGAAACCTTTACTTTTTGAAACAGAACGGCAACCTTTCAGAAACCTCTGCTTTGCATGGCTTACCTAATTATACGCTGTTCAGCCTAATGACTGCGCGAAGAGAGGTGAACAGCACAAAGGAGGTAGGAGCAGGGCTCTGAATGGGGCCCCACCATCCATGTAAATTGCAAATTAGAGGCCAGCATATGTGACTCAAAACAAATATTAAGATTGACATGAGCTGCACATTGAAACACGAGGACACCACGGAGCCACACAGGAGAAAACCACGGAGCCTGATCACCAGCTACCACTGCTAGGGGATATGACACGGGAGAGGCGGGGCGGGTCTCTTGCTGGGGACAGACAGGAGTCCCAAGCTCTTGATTTCACCCTCTGCAAGACGTCTGAGCATATGACGCATGGCAGCATGGTTTCCTGGGCAGACGCTCAGCTTCTGGTACCTAACCCCTTGTTCAAGTTGAGGGGATTTGAAGTGAATGTCATGAGTCAGTTCAGACCCTCAATGCCAAACCACATTGGAACCATGGATTCGGTTTTCTCATTCTTCACTTTTCTCATGGCAATATAGCTGATCTGTGTCATACCGCTTCAAATAGAGACAGAGGAAGAGATAGATGAAAATCAAGTTGTTTGCAAGTTGACTGTCAATGATTGAGTTTATGTCAACATGGCGTTGCCTACTCCATCCAAAGTACAGCAGAGAATGAAGGGAAGAGGAAGAAGAAGAGGAGGAAGGAAGAAGGCAGAAGATAGAGGGGAGGAGGAGGAGAAAATAATATTTGAAATAGTGTACAGAACTGGAGTCAGTAGTTTATACATGTAATCCTGGCTATTCAGTAGGCTGAGACCTCAGGACCATGGTTTAAATCAGCGCCAGCAGGAAATTCAGTGAGACTCTTAGTGCTAATTAACCATGAAAAGCTAGGAGTACAGCTGTGGCTCAAGCACCAGCCTTGAGCAAGAAAAAAGCTACAGAACAGCACCTAGGCCCTCAGTTCAAAGCCTAGGAACAGCACCAAAAGAAAAAAAAAGATCTCCAAAATGGTGCCAATTTTGGAAATAGGAACTTATGTGCCATAGTACAGACTTATCTATTCCTATTGACTTCTTTTATATAATACTCTTGTATTGTAAATGTGTCCTTAACATTATTCATTATTCTTGGTGATGAACATTAGCAGCACTTCAGTAAATCCTGCCAAAGAAATGACTAGACATCAAACGAGCATAGCACTAATCCCATAAAATAACAGGGAAAAAATGACATCTCAATACTACTTCAGTCTTACTCTACAAGACGAAGCTTCCATGTCTCTAAATCTTTTATTATAATTTTCAATAAAGTTTCATCATTTTCTTCTATAAGTCTTATACAAGGCAAAATAATAATTATCATATGGTGATTATTTTATGCATTCATCTTCACCTAAAACAATTAACTTTATCTTTTTTATCAGCATATAAAAATACAGGATGTTATCTATAAATAGTAATTCTGATTTCTTCTGTAGGAGCACCTATAATTATTATTTCAAATGTTTTAAATAAGAATGATCTCTTCCTTTTGTCTTTTTATTCCCCAACGGTATTTATTCTCTGCACTTTTTCACATATTGGGGTCACTTTTATAAATGATTCCTTTCTAGAAGACAACTATTAATTTGCTTCTTAGTTTTTGTTTTCAATTTGGAAAATGCTTCTTTTCCCTCTGGGTGATCAGGAAGGGCTCTGAAGTACAGCCTACTTCCCTAGACATGGGGCTGGCTGTGCACCTTCAACTGTCTAACAGATCCCACACCCACTTAGAAACCATGGTTAATAAAATGGCAGACACACAGCCAAACAAGGCCAGAGTCATTCAAAGGATCTGAGGCCAGGGGATTGAAGAAACACCATCCTTTCTCTGTGATCAACTTCTGTAATGATAATTTAAGTTCGGAAACAGTGGCTGATACCATGAGGTAGGTGCCACAGACTCAGCCTGAAAGTGATGAAAGACAGAATCAACAGAGCCAAGCTATAGGACAGAAGAGGGCTTCAGGGAATTAGTGGAGAAGAAGGCTCTGGAGCCAGTTTTGCTTGAAGAAAACATGATCTTTCTAATGATTGTGACCATCTATGTCCATGGGTTCTACCTAGGAGTTAACTAATCACAAATTTAAAATATATGAAAAAGAAAATTACATCTATATTGAGCACAGACAGATGTTTTCCTTGTCATTCTCTATAAATAATACAGTGTAGCTGGTACCCATGACTCCTGCCTGTAATCCTAACTACTTAGGAGGCTGACATCTGAGGACTGAGGTTTGAAGCCAGTTGGGGCAGAAAGGTCCCCAAGGGACTCTTATCTCCAATTAACCACTCAAAACTGGCAGTGGAGCGGTGGCTCAAAGT